TCTTATTTGTTATCCACATAACAATCAAAAGCCTACATTTAAAATTATACGATTACAAAAAAAAAAAAACAAAAAAAATGCATTTAGACTTAAAAGCTGATGTATTTCATAGACCTGAAACATTAAAGTAAAATATCTGATACGTTTATGAAATCCAACCAAAGCTTAAAGTTGGTAAAAATGTCTACACTCTTTGCAGCAGAAGTTTAATCATTCTTTACTTAGTTAGATAATAAAGAGATACAAATTACCGATAGAGCACATAAAAAACTTAAATCGCTTATCATAATTTTTCACATCGTATTACCATTGTTTATCTCTTTTCAGAGTCGCATATTGTGACGTTTCATTGATGTCTGCATCCAGTGATTTTGCAAATACTCTACTTCATGCAGTCCCAAATATTAATATTTTTTCTTTCAAAATGCAGGGGAAAATAGAACTTAATTCTTCTTTACAAATATAAACATGGTTATCAAGAATTAATCGAGTTACATAAAACCAAAATGAACATCTATATATATCATGCTTATGCATTATTGGCACTGTGTTTGGTGACAATGTATATTGCTAATTGTATTATGAGCTGTATAATTGTTCTGCAAATCTCTCATCTACTAAAATTTTCAGTCAAAAGTTTTTTTCCAAAATTCTAAAATATTCCTGCTATTTGAATATTTTGAATAGTTGGGCTTTTATAAATAAAAGCTTTTCGTCCCTATTGAGGATATTTTCTCAAAACATAAATGTAAAAAATTATGAAAGGAAATTAGCCAAAGAACATAAAATTTAAAATATCTAATTAAATATTAATGTATTGTCTGTATAATACTGTAAGCATGTATGTATGAATAATACTGTAAGCATGTATGTATGAATAATACTGTAAGCATTTCATTAGCCATATACAGTGGTGGCCAAAATTGTGGACACTTTTGGAAATGTTTATGGTTTTGAATTTTGTATGCTTATAGAAAATGTTACGTTTCGCAAAATGCAAACTTGTATATATCATTTTAAAGAGAATTTATTACTGAATTCAATACAAAACACAAAATTCAATTATTTGCAATACAAAAAAACGTTATATGTACTTTAATATAAATAAAAAACACAGTTATGAAGTGGTTTGTAATGTCTAGCTTTCCTGGCCAATCACTGTTCTTATTCTGAGAACCAATCAAATGTTAGTAACTGCCAGTAGAAGCTGACATCATGTTAACACTTGAAACAATTCATTATTTTGCTTTGTTCTGTAGAAGTAAGACCTGTTTCTTATACACTGCAATTACAAGTAGGAATTTTTGTAAAAATTTTTAATATTTAGTCAAGAAGCAATGACATCAAATAAAAGAGTAGATTAGACACCTAGAAAGAGATGTAATATTATTGTGTTACGAGAAAGTGGTCTTTCCTATGCTGAAATTGCAAGACAGGTGGGTGGTTCAGTTACATCTGGAGTCTGAAAGTTTTGTTTACGATATCAGGAGACAAATTGAATAAAAAACAAAGAAGGAAAAGGCCAAAAAAGGTGCACCACATCTACCTATGACAGAAGAATAAAAAGACTTTGTCTCCAAGATAGAAAAATGTCATCAGTGGCCATCAGAAGTGATCTGAATGATGCTGGTGTTTCTGTCAGTTCAAGAACAATCAGGAGAAGATTAACAGATGTTGGACTGAGAGGTAGAATTCCACGAAAAAAGCCTTATCTTAATTTTCAGCAACGAAAAAAAGAAGGCTATAATTGTTTCCTGGCATCATGTAATAATGAAAGAAGAGCTTAAAACTCTTGTCAGCTCAATGAAACGTCAATGTGAAGCTGTAATCAAAAATAAAGGGTACCCTACTAAGTACTGATAACTCACTGCAATCATCTCTATCTAATGTATATCGATAACTATTATCGTTTAACTTTTAAACTTTTTTTGTATTGCAAATAATTGAATTTTGCATTTTGTATTGAATTCAGTTATAAATTCGCTTTAAAATGATATATACAAGTCTGCATTTTGTGAAATGTAACATTTTCTATAAGCATACAGTGGGCAAAGGAACACATTAATTGGACAGATGATCAGTGGTCACAAGTTATATGGAGTGATGAAACTAAGATATCGTTATTCGGAAGTGATGAGCGAAAATATGTTAGACGTAGAATAGGAGAAGAGCTACATCCTGACTGCATTCAAGCAACTGTGAAGAACCCAGTTAGTGTTATGATTTGGTCATGCATGTCAGCAGATGGTATTGATCGCCTTCATGTCATCGATGGGACACTGAATGCCAGAAAATACATTGACACTGTTCTAGAACCAAAACTTCTACGTTCCATCAGAGATCTCTTTCCCAACAATGCTTCGTTTATTTTTCAGCAGGATTCTGCTCCTTGCCACACAGCCAAAATATGGAAAGAGTGGTTTCGTACAAAGAGCATTAAATTGTTGTCATGGCCAGAAACAGTCCTGACCTCAATCCTATCGAAAATTTGTGGCACCGTTTGAAAACTCTTGTCCAAATGAGGCACCCATCAAATAAAAGGGAACTAATTGAGGCTATAATTGTTTTCTGGCATCATGTAATAACGAAAGAAGAGCTTAACTCTTGACAGCTCAATGAAACGTTGATGTGAAGCTGTAATCAAAAATAAAGGGTACCCTACTGAGTACTGATAACTCACTGCAATCATCTCTATCTAATGTATATCGATAACTGTTATCATTTAACTTTTCAACTTTTTTTTTGTATTGCAAATAATTGAATTTTGCATTTTGTATTGAATTCAGTAATAAATTCGCTTTAAAATGATATATATAAGTCTGCATTTTGTGAAACGTAACATTTTCTATAAGCATACAAAGTTTTAAAAAAAATTAAAATTTCTAAAAGTGTCCACAATTTTGGCCACCACTGTAATTGTGTACTACTAAGTGAATTGAAGTTAATTTGGATATCTTTTGAACTAGTGTTGCCATGCAGCATGAAAATCTCCTTGTTTTTCTTATCATAAGGTTTTTAAATGATGATATGATAAATAAATAGGAATAAGTAAAGATCTTATTAAAGATAAATATTGCTTCAAATTTGTTAGAAAAACTTATTTTTAGCTTGATTTATTGTACATTAATAACTTGTTCTATTATTAATTAATGTTATGAAATTTGTAGTGGCGAAAATGGAGCCATTTTACATTATGGTCATGCTGGTGCTCCTAATGATAAGACAGTAGAAGATGGTGATATGTGGTGAGATTTTGAATTGTATAGTATATTCAATGAAACATATTTTGTGTTTTAAACGTTTAATTTTTTTATTAGCATCTGCTTTGAGTTATATTTGAAATTTACTGGATTTCCATTTTATGAACTTACAGTGGGTTATTTTGTAAATTTAGCAGTGGATTATTTGAATAATTTAAAGTGTTTACTACAAGGTTAGACAAAATTGATTTCTTTTTCCTATCCTTCTTCTAAATGTGGATATTCCATGTGAATAGAATCTTGAAAACGAAAGAAAGTGAAATTAGAAAATAGAGAGAAGAATGTTGTAGGAACTAGAAGTGAACAACAAAATACAGTAAAGTGGCAACATTTGAAGGTTTAATGAATTTTATTCTCAATATGTAGCTATCTATAGAAAAATTTAAGTAATGTAGTAAAATTTAGTTTTATAAAATCATACCTAATAATTGAAGCTGCATGTACACAAGTTAGCCTTGACCTCCAAAAACTATGAAATTGCCTTGAACATACTAAAAGAACAATTTGATCAAAAATATATTTTTATACATTTGCATATACACTGATGAGCGAAAACATTATGACCATCCCCACATTTTTCAATGAACATGTCTGAATGAAATAGAGGGCATATGATTAAGTGGGAATGATATTTAATTGCTGCAAGAAAACACAAGGAATCATTCTAGCACTTTTATAACTGATGGGAAAGGCTGTTGATGTAAGTGAATTTGATAGAGGGTGGATTGCAATGGTCCGAAGTCCGAAATTACATGGCTGGTAGGTTGTTCACAATCTACCATTGTTAGTATTTATGCAAAGTGAATAAATGATGGTGAAATCAGCAGTAGACGCCAAGATGGTGGACACCAATGCATCATCAAAGGAAAAGAACATAGGAGACTGTCCTGCTTGATACAACAAAATCAGTGCCAGACAGTGGTTCAGCTGACAGCCTAATTTAATGAAGATGTGTGCGCAAGTGTTTTGGAACACACAGTACAGCAAACACTATTGGATACAGGACTGCACAGCAAACGTTCCACTCGTGTACCTCTGTTGACCAAGCATCATTGTCAACTGTGCCTGCAGTGGGCCTAGGGCTGGACCATCGATAAGTGGAAGACAGCTGCCTGGCCGGATGAATAACGGTCTCTCTTTCATCATGTCGATAGCCATGTCACAGGATACAGCATCTTCCAACCGAAGAGTTGCTCCACCTTCTGTATAGCACGCAATACACAGGTTGTTGGTGGTGGTATTAAGCTTTGGAGGACGTTCTCATAAGCATCTGTGAAACCCTTAGTTGTGTTAGAACAGACCATGAAAGCTGTGGACCGGCTGAACATAATTGCAGATCATTTGTATCCTTACATGGCATCTGTCTTCTCAACTGAAAATGGAATTGTCCAAGAGGACAAGATCCTAGGTCACAAGGCTCGAATTCGGTTGGAATGATTCAAGAGGCATAAAGATGAATTTCAGTTAATGTCTTAGCCAGCTAATTTTCCGGATCTTAACCCAATGCAGCAAATTTGGGATGTCGGGGGAACAGTAGCGCAGAGCTTATCACTATGTTAACTTTGCAAGACCGCTGCTTAGACATTTGGTACAACCTTTCTCCAGTCATCTACCAAGAACTTGTGGTATCCATTGCAAGGCAAGTTGCAGCTGTTTTGCAGGCCAAAGGTTGAACAATGCATTATTGAGTAGGTGGTCATTATGTTTTGGCTCTTCAATGTATTAAGACTGTTTTAAACTTAAGTCCGATACAAAAGTAATATGATATTATGTCGATGCTTAGATTTTATTCAGAATGGGAAACATATTCAAGGTTTAGAAAATAATGGAATTAATCTGAACAGTTACAGTTTCCTGTTGTATCCTGTGTTGTTAAAATTGATCCTCAGAGATTTGGCATTAGAATTTTCTTGCAGACTCCCATTAATAAAATATAAATGAAATACTTATTTGGGTAGAATTTTTGAAGATGTGAATTCAGTATCGTGAATGAAATGAGTACTTAACTGAAGAACTTTATTCAGTTTCTCCAGATGCATGATTGGAAATAAAATTTAATTCTTTATAAAAACCTACTCAGAGCTACTCAGAAATATTTAATAAAAACAAAGTTGATAATGGAGCAAAACAATTTAATTCAATCATTCCTACTACTATTGCATTTGTTATTGATATGAAAAATGTATATTTTGTGCAAAATCTGAAAATGATCATGATTCTGTTTCTTTTCTCTTATCAACTGAACATCAAAAATTATCCCTAATAAAAAGTTGCATGTGTTATTCCTGGCTTCTTAAAGAACATATTTGTAAACAGTGTAAGACAAAAAATAGGTGTGGAATTCGCAAATGCCAGCATATTGAACTGAACTGCAATAAACCCTCGGTTTTTTCTTTCCCTCCTCTGGAATCTGGTCAGAGCAGCACCATAAAAGTGCAAGATGTTTTGACTTTCGTAGCATATGTAAAAATGAAAAAGATTGTAAAATCCTATTTGAAACATATTCAACAATTATAATGGTTTCAAAAGAACTCAGTTTATTGTTTTTACTGTTCTATGGAATGTGCTGCTCTATTATTGTTGATCCAACATATTAGACTTGGATGGGACTAATTTTTATCCAAGTGTTCAGTTTGTGAAATGCTGATGCCTAAAACTCCATTTCCCTTTCTTATTTCTATGAAAGGCAAAGTTAATGACCTTATATAAGGATTTTAGGTTTAAATGAGAGGTTATGAAATGCAAAGGCAAAATTCCAAAAACTTTTCATTCTTGCATGGGAGGATAATGCAAGTGAATAAAATTTCTAAATCGTAATGCAAAAATAATGAAGAAAAAATATGCAAGTATAATTATGATATTCTTAACATTGATTTAAATGCATAAGAAAGGACTGAAAATAATAAAAAAGATCACTAGTTATTTAAAAATATTCTTTTAATGAGGAAATACAAATAATATGATTTATAGTTTTATAATGCACAGATTATTTTATCTTATTTATTTTAGTCCTTAATTACCAAATTTTAATGAATGTACCAATTTTCTTAAAAATTTTTTATGCTTGATACTTTATACTAAAAAAAAAAAAAAAAAAAAAAAAAAAAAAAAAAATTAAAAAGTCATTTCTTCTAATAGTCCTTTTGAATTTCGAAAATTATTGAAACAGTTTTTGGAAGCATGTGGATTTGTGACTTAGAAAATTTCAAGAAAACTTTGTTAGTTCTAGAAACTGATATTTTTATAAGTATTACAAATTTAAGCAATTGTACATAATATGCCTCTATAAAACTAAATTAAGTTTCGAAGCATTATCATACAAATTAAAACTGAAGTGTTCTATGGTAGCTTTATTTTTTTTTCCCTGTTTCCAGCCTATTTGACATGGGTTGTGAGTACTATTGTTATGCATCAGATATCACATGTTCTTTCCCAGCAAATGGAAAATTTAATGATAAGCAGAAACTTATTTATGAAGCTGTATATAAATCTAGTAGAGCAGTGATGGCTGCAGTAAAACCAGGTAACATGAACTGTTTCTTCATATGCCATATTTTTAGAGTGATAGTAATATGAAATATATTTTAGAATGTTTTAATTAATGTGAATTTAATACAATTGAATTATTCAACTATGGCAAAGCAGAGTAGGACTGGTAAAGGAATGGTTGATACTTTCTTGCTTTACTGTCATCTGTGGAAATTGGCAGAGGTCCCTCTGAACTTCAGCCAATAAATTTGGTGGAAGTTTGTTAAAACAGGTCGCTTTTTATCTAGTTAAATAAACAACAGGTCAAAGTTACAGTGTTTGAAGTAAATAACACTATCGAATGGATATTCCTTTGTAACAATTTTGCATTGTTATTGTTGATCCATTTTTCAATAAAGCTACATATGATGACTATTAATTAAAAATCATTTAACAGTTCCTCATTTTGCAATTCAGGAAAATTGTTTTCTTCAATTGACAAGAAAATTATAAGTTCATCAATTAAACTGTTAAATCTCTTCAGAACCTTCCCAATACTAAGCCACAAATGTCTGTGTATAAAGTATTTCATAAAATTTACTTTCAGTATCTTTTGATAATACAGTAAATTGCCAATGATTTATGTCTCATCCCTGAATAAAATTCACTACTTTTGTGGCAATATTAATGACATGATCCAATTTTAAAACTTTTTTACAAAGTACTTTTTGATAAATGAGGCAATACAGAAAAATTACTTTTGTTGAACTAGGACAGCTGTCTGTTGTGATGCTTAATACTTTGGCTTTGTTGTTGTCCAAGTTAAATGCATTTTGACTAGCCATAAGAAAACATAAACAACCATAAAAAACAACAGCCATAAAAAAGTCTTCTCCAGTAATTTTTCATCAAATGTACGCTAACCAGCTCCTAATTTTGATTTCTTGTCTGTGCTATGAATGAATATTAATAATTGATTTGTGTCAATTATATTACAGTACTGAAAGTGATAAAGCAGTAGTTAAAATTTGCAATTTTTGTTTGTAGCTGATCAAATAAATTCTGTAAATACTTTCAGTTCACAGTACTAACATTTTTCTTGAAAGGCTTAAACTTTCAAATATTGTTTTCTTTCCTAGGCAACATATTTCAAAATTTTATCCATAAATTCTGTGACAAACTCTGCATAAATAAATGGTTTATACAACTTTGCAACATTTTATGCAGAAACTTAATTATCTTAATTGGCTGCTTTGTCAGTGGTTTTTATTGTTTGACTTATTTAGAGTTAGCTATGTATTTTGTTGATGAAGCTATGTATTTTGTTTCTATTGCTAGATTTTAAAAAAATTGTCAGCAATATTTCATAATTTCTTAACCTGATTCATATTTCGAATACTTTGTTAAAAATGGCTTTTAAAATTATATTCTTTGATTATAGCAGTTATCTCTTGGCAAACTAAATTGCATTATTATTTGCATTTGTAAATATATACTTCGTTGTATGATTCTTTAAAATTTCCAATTCCCCCCCCCCTCCCCCCCCCAACACACACACCGATTCATTTCAACACGTAAAATCAAACTCTTAAAACTTAGCCATGAAAAATATCCAGTATTCTTCGATCAGACATAAGGTTCATTTTACAGTCTACAGAGAGAAAGTAGAAAAAGTAGAAAGAAGAGAAAACTATTAAAGTTCCATAATATGTTAACTTGCTACTGCTATTCTAACTATGATCTCCACCAAGTTCTTCTACTTTGCGGCAATCTGATGATGACAGGACCACAATTTTATTCCCGTTTTTCAAGTTATCTAATCTACTCAGTTACACTTGTGAATGTCTGATTTATTCAGTATGCACATACATTTGCCAATCATTTGCTGAACTTGGCATGTTTAATCAGCAATATGTCCCACCCATGTGTACAGTAAAGCACAAGTTGAGCAGAATATGCTATGACAACTGCTTTCCATTCTTCAGGTCAGGGATAATTATTCATTTTATTGATTTTCATAGAGAGGCTGTTCACACATTTAGACGATGAATATTGTATTCACAAAACTAAATTACATAAAATTCTTGTGTTTTAAATGTTCTATTGGACATCCCTTATTCTGAACTTTTTCGACACCACAATTTCCACGATAATAATGCCTTTTGAAGAGGTACTTTATCCCATTCCTCCCGAACAGCTTTCCAGAGTCCTGTTAGGATTTTGGGACAATGTCTGGATTATTCGCCACTCAAGAATTGGTCTTTCCATGTTAAACTCAAATTTGATCCAAACAAGAGCTTTCTTTTGGGTATTGCCAAAACTAATACTAGATCAATAGATCAATATATCCTAGGTGCAAACTGTATGGACAACCAATTAGAGTTTCTAAGAATATCAAATATTTGGGCATTACGATCGATGAAAAGCTCACTTTTATACCTCACCTAGATCAAATAAAGATCGAATGCACCCATATTCTTAATAGACTTAGTAAAATGAATCTCCAAGTTAAAGTTCTTAAGAGTTTATATAAAAGAGCTGTTGAGAGAAAAACCTTGTATGCATGTGGCGCATGGTGAACTGGAACGGTCCGAATGCGTAACAAAATTTTGAAAATTCAAAGAATCGCTTTATTGAGGATTACTAAATGTTTTAGAACTGTTTCCACAGTAGCTCTTCAGATTTTGGCTGGATGTCCTCCGATAATTTAGCGGAAAAAGAATATGCTATCTTTAAATTACAAGCTGGTAATAATACTGTCGATTGTATCAGTTTGACATCTTTTCAGCAAGACATTCTTGACTTTGAAAAAGGTTTAGACATTCATCCAGCTTTGTTGAAACGGTTGAATTGGCATAAAAGCCTCCCCAATATGACAGGCTACACGATTTTTATAGATTGATCTAAATTAAATGGTCATGTGGGGGCAGCCTTTTGTGTGTTCTCAGATGAGAAACTAAGCTTACAAAGGAAATGTAGACTTTCTGACAATGCCTCTGTCTATCAGGCAGAGTTAGTGGCCCTGCGAGAGGGCCTTGTATTGGCTTATTTCTAATTCTGCGATAAATCCTGTAGAAATCTATTGTGACTGCAAAAGTGCAATTGTTTCAATTAAAGATGTTTGTCCAAGTAACGATCTAATTAAACAGATGAAAGACTTGCTCATTTTTCTTAGCACTTTCAGAGATATTAAACTCTTTTGGACGAAGAGTCATATTGGTACCATTGGTAACGAGTTAGCAGATAGATTGGCAAAGGCTGCCACTGAAAATCAAATTACTGATTTTGAAGTAAAGACTTCCTTTGACAGTTTGAAATCCTTGTTGAAAAGAAAAAGTTTGACTTTATGGCAAGCAAAGTGGAAGGACCCAGATTCTAAAGGAAGATTTACTTATAATTTAATCTCAATTGCAAGTGAGAAAAAGATGCCTGAGTGACAAGTATCTAAAGCTTTAACTAGTCATGGACACTTTCCCTTTTATTATAATAGGTTTTCGATTAAAAAATTGTGTCTGTCCATGTGGCATGAGTAATGTCGATATTGAGCACCTGTTGTTTGATTGCTCTTCTATGAAAAATATTGTTCTAAGATTTATTCCAGATATGCTAAATTTAATACTCTAAAGGATCTAAGTAAAAATACAGGGTACTATTCGGTTTCGAGGGCCGTAAAAAATCGCCAAACTATTATTAGTGCCAATGCTGCCAAAAATAATTGCGGCAAGAAAGGAAGTATAATAGTAAATAACTATCTAAGATGATGTTTTAATTTAGATGAAAGGTTAATATTTCATCTCATTGGTTGTTCAAACGTAATTTCTATAATGAATGATGCCTTTTCTTTGAAAATATTCTCGGTAAAGTGCAGAATCGCTCACTTATTTATTTGCCGCTTTTTACAAGGGTAAAAAACAATTGGATTTTTGTCAATTTTCTTTTACTTTTTAAGTGAAAATAGGTCGATGACATAGATAAAGTCAAGGGTGTGCGCATTGCCATTTTTGTGCAATTATAGGATTTTTTTTTAAGTGAAAATAGATCGATGTGCACATGGATACCAAGTATGTGCAATTCTTAAAAACGCATCAAGCAGTGGGTGATTCTGCACTTTACCCAAAATTCTATTGCCGACTTTTTCGTCATGGGCAATTGCCAAATTATTAAATCCATAGGATATCAAATAAGGATTTAAAAATTAAACTAGTATTTCGATGGCGCCTTAAGAAATATATAACTATATAAACTTACGCAATCTGAAATCAGCACGTACGCTAGATTTGGCGCACTGTTAAATGGGCGCGTTTGCTAGATTTGATGCTTTTGCGCATATATTTTCGCTGCAATTTTTTTTACGGCCCTCCAAACGGAATAGTACCAAATACAGTGACTAAATTGAAATTGTCAAATTTCATAAAATATGTATCTGAAATGAAAGGAATTTATATATTGATTATGTTTAAAATTTCCCTGTTGGTTTAAAGGAAAACTAGAATGTTTATCATACTATGTTATTTTATTTCTTTGCATATGTAAGTAACATATTTTTATGCATGCAAGTAATATGTATTATATTTTACAAAGTTTGTAATAATGCTTTTGTTGGTGCAGCTGGTAAATCTTACCAGCTCCTATACTTTAAGTTCATATTTTAGTTGTTTGTTCTAAGTTATTTCAGGTAGTAAGGTGGTAGTTCTATTGCTTAATGGGCCTGCTTTAGGCCTTGTTTTAGATCTCAATGTTTCTTTAATTAAATAGCTCCACCTAAGCCCTGTTAAACCTCCAGTAGCGGTACAGGAAATGCAACCAGTCATATATACACTGAAGTGACAAAAGTCATGGGATACCTCCTAATATTTTGTCGGTCCTCCTTTTGCCCGACGTAGTGCAGCAGCTCGACGTGGCATGGACTCAACAAGTCGTTGAAAAGTCCCCTGCAGGAATATTGACGTCCATAACTGTGAAAGTGTTGACGGTGCAGGATTTTGGGCACGAACTGACCTCTTGATAATGTCCCATAAATGTTCGATGGGATTCATGTCGGACAATCTAGGTGGCCAGATCATTCGCTGGAATTGTCCAGAATGTTCTTCTAACCAATTGCGAACAATTGTGGCCCGGTGACATGGCGCATTGTCATCCATAAAAATCTCATCGTTGTTTGAGTACGTGAAGTCCATGAATGGCTGTAAGTAGCTGAAGGTATCCATTTCCAGTCAATGATCGGTTCAGTTGCACCAGAGGACCAAGTCCATGCCATGTAAAAACAGCCCAGACCATTATGGAACCACCCACCAGCTTGAACAGTGCCTTGTTTGACATTTTGGGGTCCATGGCTTCATGGGGTCTGCGCCACACTCGAACCCTACCATCAGCTCTTACCAACTGAAATCGTGACTCATCTGACCAAGCCACGGTTTTCCATTCGTTTAGGGACCAACCGATATGCTCACGAGCCCACGAGTCGCTGCAGGCGATGTCGTGCTGTCAGTAAAGGCACTCGAGTCGGTCTTCTGCTGGCATAGCCCAACGAAGACAAATTTTGCCGCACTGTCCTATCAGAAACGTCCCTCGTACGTCCCACATTGATTTCTTCGGTTATTTGACACAGTGTTGCTTGTCTGTGAACATTGACAACTCTACACAGGCGTCGCTGGTCTCGGTCGTTAAGTGCAGGTGGTCGGCCACTGCGCTGTCCATGGTGGGATGTTATGCCTGAAATTAGATACTCTCGGCACACTCTTGACACTGTGGATCTCGGAGTTTTGAATTCCCTAACGATATCCGAAATGGAATGACCCGTGCGTCTAGCTCTAACTACCATTCCGCGTTCAAAGTCTGTTAATTCTCGTTGTGCGGCCATAATCATGTCAAAGCCTCTTCACATGAATAACTTGAACACAAATGAAAGCCCTGCCAAAGCATTTCACATTTATACATTTTCTATGTGATACTACTGCCATCTGTATATTTGCATATTGCTATCCCATGACTTTTGTCACTTCAGTGTATATATGTAACACTTAAAAGGAAAAGGGAAAGCAGTGCCATGTATTATCAGTTTTCAATGCAGTTAGTTGCTTGCACCAAACATGTATATATGACGTAATAATTGTGAACTGAAACTTTCAACTCTAACCAAAACTTTTCTCTTCATGTGCTTCCTTCCATCTTGCATAGCTACGCACTTCAGCTTCACTCTCTGCTCTGCTAGGATGTAATTTCGCTATCTTGCTCACCATCATATCAAAAGTGTAAATGTTCTTGAATAGGCACAGCTAGAGTGTCAAGCGAACTGTTGCCACAAATATCAATTGCATATAAAAATGGAATTAAAACTGCCAAGTTATTTAGATATTACCAATTTAACATTATTAGCCTACTATGCAGTCGGAATGCTTCATCTTCAATATGCATCTAGGTATGCATCAACACTGCTTCTGGCTTTTCCTTGTGCTTATTGTTTCATATTATACATATTTATATTCCCACTCTGATACCTGGCTTGGTGAGCTCATTTTTTAGTCTTATATGCTAGTAAATTGTGCATTTTTTTCTTTAAAGGTGGTTGAATTAGGTTGTTATGTTCTGGTTAAGGTTTTATGCCATTAATGAATTTGTATGCAGTAGCTGTAGATTATCAGCAGTTTAAAACTTTAACCCGCGAGAACACGCACTCATTTTCAAGCACGAGAACTCGCACCGGGTATCTCATACCCTAGTTCATTTCTGCTATTGAAATATCAATTAATACTGTTTATAAGCAAACTTTATGTAATTAAATATTACAAAATAATACGTTAAAGAACTTTAGGGAATTTAATTATGCATACATACATGTTTAAAGACAATTTTGACAAACTATGTACTGATGTTCAACACAGACTTATTTCACATTTTTGGCACATAAATCTTGATTTTCTGTCCTTATTACATGGACAAAATGCACATCGTTTATAATTTGCTTTGAGATTTATACAGGCAGTTCGCAGTTATCGATTTCCAGTTCCTTAGAAGTTTCAGGCTTACGGTTTCTGTGGTGTTCTGAAAGAACGAGTTCCTGTATTTCAAAAAGAAACGTCTGTTTCTGAGCTGTGTGGTAGGATGTTTCATGGACATCAACTAATCCTGACATTAATAACAGCCTCATTTAACATGTAAAATAAAATAACCATTGGCCAGCGATTTCATATCCTCGCTGTAGTGTATGGTGGAGCCATTTTGTCGACAACGTCCACAACTCCTTTCGCAAGATTATAAAGTGTGGTGATATTCGTTTTTTGTTTCAATTCCATGGTGGTTTCATCTATCTTATCATCAGTATGAATTGTGGATAACATAACTACATCATTGTTCTTTTTTGCAGAATACAAAACTTTTTTTAACAGCTTCTTTTTCTCCAAAACTCCAGGTGGTATTTCTCTTTTATTTTGTCTAAGTGTTTCAACCATTGCAAGTTTATTTTTTAAAAGTTCTTATGCTAGCTCATATCCCATATACTAATTGTCAGTTGTCAAGTTGCGTCTAGAATTGAAAATCTGTGTTATCAACCGCATCACAATGGATTTCGAGCTACAGTCTATTTTGAATGGTCCATCGAGTTGTTGACCGACATAAATCTCCATATTCCAGGTATAAAATATTCTAGAATCTACTAGTGCAAATATCTTGATGCTATACTTAGGCTTTTTGGACATATATACTGCCTGAATTCGCACCACAGAAAACATTCCATGCATCTACGGGAGATGTGACAGTTTTTGAATAAGCTGTATTACCTGGAAGCTTGATAATTATATTCCTTGAAGGCTTCCTAACATGTTGCCGGTATTTTTTCTTCTGCCATATTGTAACTTTATCTTTAACAATATAAAAATTGGTTGTTGACAGTGAACTTTCATCTTCTGTTTCTATCTCAATTTCGTAATTAGGTAAGAATCGTAATTGCTACAGTATTCAGTCCTTTTTCAGAGGCAACTCTATCTTCAGATATAGGTTCATCATCGCTAGAAACAGCCTCAATAAGGTGTTGAAAATATTTATTTTCTTCGTCGTAATTCAGATAGCACTTCATATTTCACTAAGCTGACAGAAAAAAGGAAAGATCTGACTGACGCGAGGACTAGCATGGATATGACATCCCCTCCCCCCGACACCTGTATCTCAAAATCTATTTTTAGGGCTGAACTAGTTTTTTTTCCTGCTGAAAGAATGTTACTTTGAATACGGCTACACGAAATTCTGGCTTAATCTGAAAAGAAGAAAGTAACAAAAACGTTGAATGAAAATGGAAGCAAAAGTTAATTTTCAGTTTTGTACGGCAAAAATTTTGTCTTCTTGCCCGTTGGACAAATTGTTTGTTTTTGCGTAGAAACTGATTTTAATTTTAAAGATTGTTTTTTTATCTGTGTTAGTTGTTTTAGGTTTTTCTGTATTTTATAATTTTTAAGTGAAAATGTTCTGAGTTTTTATGTATTTTTACCTTTGGCCGTAAAGTAAGAACCGAATTGATTTGAATGATAAATGTATCTGTAATTAAATTCGAGGAAATATGTTTTAAATCAAGTGCAGCAGAAAGTGTGTATAATTTATTAGGCCATACAAGGAAGTCATGTGGTCTCCACATATTCAGTTTAGTCAAATAAAAAATTACATTAAAATACAAAACAAAGATGTGATCATAAGGGTTAATGTAAATGTATGCAAGTGCACATTACTTTTTCATATTTTTCAATAGTTAAAGATTTTGTGATAATTAAAAGCTGAGGAACTAAAACAAATTGTTAAGTCTAGCATTTCCAGTGGATATATTAATTTTCAATGAAAAATAAAATAATACTATTTGTTTTACTTTTTGGATGAAGGCAGAATGTTTTATGTTAATTTTTTTCATGTATGTTAGGGGTAAGCTGGGTTGATATGCACAAACTTGCAAATAAAGTGCATTTAGAAGAATTAAAAGCAGGTGGTTTACTCAAAGGAGATGTGAATGATATGTTGAAAGTCAATTTAGGAGCTGTTTTTATGCCGCATGGTCTTGGACATTTTATGGGATGTGATGTACATGATGTTGGTGGTTATATCGAGGTAATATGCTATTTCAAAAAACATTTAGTTTATTTTATTTTACTGTGAGTCTAATCATGATTGTATATGAAGAACATTAACTGCACTTTATTTATTTGTTACCGAAATGACTTTTTTCATAAATGTCAGATAAAAAATTATTTTTGCCTTGTACTAATTGTATATAGTTATTTAAATCATAATGAAAAACACAGTTTTTGTTTTAATTCCTTGATATTTCTGCCATTTTTTAAGTGTAAAACATTTTTGAATAGCTATTATGATCACATATTTATATAATATTTCTAGGATTGTTTTTTCTTAATCTTATTTTATAATTGATGATTTTTTAAAAGAATGTTTTTCAGAGCCGTTACCCCAAATTACTTTCATAATTGTGTAAATTTTGCCCTTTTTTATGTTTCTAAATGAATGTGATGATCATTTAACTGTACCTTCAAAATGTATGTTGACGAAGATAAAACCACAGACTGTTTGCAGTGTGTGATATAACCATGGCCCTGATACTAAAACTGAGTAAGTTACTCCTTCTGGTATACGTCAGTAGAAGGATGCTGTAATGAAATGTATTCAGAATTTTAATGATAAGAGTTTCACAAGATGTGGTATATCAAAAGGTTCTGAAAATGAGGCTGCATAGCCATAGGCTGCTGCAAATAAATTAATACAGAGGCTGTTCACACATTTTTTAGACGATGTATATTGTATTCACAAAACTAAATTACATAAAATTCTTGTGTTTTAAATGTTCTATTTGACATCCCCTTATTCTGAACTATCTTCGACACCGCAATTTCCAGGATAATAATGCCTTTTGAAGTGGCAGAAGAGGTATTCTAATCCATTCCTCCCGAACAGCTTTCCAGAGTTCTGTTAAGGGTTTGGGAACAACGTTTGGATAATGCAATTTTTAAAAGTCCGAAAGCACAAAATCCATAGGTGACACATTGGGAGATTTAGTAGGGATGTTCAGTGAAGGGTATGGCCTTAATACCAGTTTTTTGTTCCATTTCTTTTAGGAAATTTTACAGTGGACTTTGATGTATGACTGCTAGCTTTGTCCTGATGGAGTCTCACAGATTAATGGCACTGTGTGATAAAGCGATGGTATTTCCTTCAGAAAAATTGGAGATAAAATATGTTCTTGATAGTATTTGGAAGTTAATCTGACATTTTTTTTGCACTCTCTTTATTTTCAACTTGCCATTATAAGAAAAACCAAGCAACAATCACGAATCCCTTAGAAAAAACTTTCTTTCGATTTTTTGAACCATGTACTTAATTTTTTTTCTCTCCTTTTATGATAATAAAAATCGCTCTTTTTTTTTGTTACAATCATTTAAATATACCCATATCATCCATCTTGTGACAATTGTTTTCCATTTTTCTTTGGATAATTGTTTCTCATATAAGAATTCTGCAGCGTGTCCTGCGTTGAGCGATATGCTTAAGCATATGCTTATATATTTGGAAGTGAAGACGATGCACATTGCGTTTTTTCGCTTTCTTAAGATTTAAATCAACATTTATCATTTTGTTTACAGTGGACCCCCGAGCATTTTAATGATTTTGCCACTGTCTTTGACTAGGAGGATTTACTTTTAACATTAAAAAACATACCTTTGCAATAGTCGAAGATTTGTTTTTTCCTTGGATACTTGTTTGGAACTTTTGTCCCATTTGAGGCTCCAATTTGACGTTTTTTTTCCTTTCTTGTTGATGATATTACCTATCGACGCTTTAGGATATCACAAAAACATGACTCTCACACGTCGTTTTTGGATAATGGAGTATGCACATATTTCTCTTCGGAAAGAGCATAACATGTAGCCTTCGAACCACTGCTTTGTTAAATTCGCCATTTTGAATAAAAACAAAACTTTCAAGCCACAGGCGATAATTTTGACTTTTAAAAACATAGTACAATTGCAATTACTTCTTTTGCAGCAAACGATTTTTTATTACCGCTTACCAAATCGTCTAAAAAATGTGTGAACAAACAGCCTCTGTACAAAATCACCGGCTGCTCTAGATTAAGCCACTCTTAAGCTAATGGAAATTCACCACTGAATTCTAGTATGCATGTGAGCATTGAAATACTTTGTGCAAGTTTCAAAGTCACTATGAATCTGATTTTTTTTTTTTTTTTTTTTTTTTTTTTTTTACTATGCCTGCCATGTGTGTCTCAGGAATAGAAGCTCAGGAATATAGCATCAGAATGTATCATGTAATAAAAAGAAGTCAACATAGAACATATAAGAATGTTTAAACATCATTAGAGAGTTGTACTTTTCAAAGCAGTGGTATTCATTCTGTTGAAAGCCTTCTATTTGAAATAGCAATATCAAATATACATCCTGATAGTTCTAGCATAGGTTATATTAGACAAGGAAAATATGTTCAACATTATGTAATCTTTAAATTGCTCAGATGTGAAAGCAGCTGAATTTGATTTGTGATATTGGATTCACCTCAGTCTGTAATTAGAAAGGAAAAAGTCTGTGGTGTTCCAGACAGAAGAAGCTTTCATTGACTTGCAATTTATTTATTTATTTCCAGTGCAAAAATGTTTTACTTATTCCATAATAGAGAAGATGTAAAATTTTGCCACTAGTGTATGCTTCTGTCATAAATTCTTATGTCATATTTCTGTAACAGTGTTAAAGATAGAATGTATACCTCATACATTTCTATCTTTGCAATAGTAATGGAAATATGCTGTCGGATTTAAAATAAAGTAGTGAATAAAAGCATTGATATGTAATATCCTTAATGATTCTTCTGAGAAAGTCATAAGATGTCAGATCTGGTGAGTCTATAATGCAACATGAGTCATATTGTGCTCTTCACTCAGTTCAAGTAACATACTGAATTCATAACCAAGCATGATGTCATGATTTTTTTCCTTTTTGTATTAAGTAATGCTACTGGTACTTGATACTACAGGGATTATCATACATAACATTAGAAAGTGTTTCATCTGTGATGATGGATGAGGATTATTTTGGTATTGTATAAAGCAACTAATGTGGAATATAGAAGACACAATATAATAAACATGAAAAAATTATATCCAAAAATGCATTATGTCTATATGACCTAATATTAACATTGAGGCTCACCAGTGGCCGAGCAGTAAAGTCACTGAACACTGGTGGTTTGGTCCAAGGTTTGAATTCTGGGGAACTGTCTGGCTGCATATTCATGGTTTTTCACTTGTGTAACATGGATATGAGCCAGTTTCCCTTAAAAATCCTCCACGGAGCAATCTTGCCTTTGGTGAATACTATTGTGTGCAATGTTCTTATAAAAAAAACACTAGCATTGTATATATCAAAACATTTGGGCTTTCAGACATAATTTTCTGCATTATTTTGCATATTGCTAATCATATGAATGGTCAAATAAAAAAAAATTACATGTGATTTTTTTTTAAGAAACAAACTTTTGGTAGCATGTTTTTGAGATATCAATAAAAAATTTGGAAGGAATTCAGAAATTCTTTTTTAAAGCTAAAATGTTTATAAATTTCAGGCATATGAAGACAACTAAGATTACAACTAAAATAAAAAATCAGCATTTCAACTTTGATCAATTCATCACAGCTAGTTTAAAAAAAAAAAAAAAAAAAACAATAGCAAGAGAACTTATTTTTGATGATGAAATAAAATATATGAATGTAGAAAATTTTAAATCTTGGAAAATACAACTTGTAGGAGATTTTTACACTGTTTAATGCAGGAGATTAATATTGGTATTAATGTTTAATGTTGTTATTAATGTAGGAGATTTTTACACTGTTTTTTACAACAAAGGAAGGATAGTGTGATATTATAGGTTTGGGATATTAATTAAAAATATCTGGAAAGTGAAATATAGAATTTCTTAAAATTGTGTGGATGTAGAAACATCTGATCAGTTTGAATGATAAGTCCATTGTTTTGCAATTTGTTACTATCTTGAATCAAAATTAAAGCTGACCCCACTAGAGGCTGAGACACTAAGACCACTGAATACTGGTAATTCAACCTGGGTTCAAATTCAGGCCAATTGACTGGCTGTGTGGTTTTTTCCCATGGGCAAAGTTAATGTGAACCAGTTTCTCTTCCATGAAGGCATCTCTCCCCTTAGGAAAATAGCACTTGTCTGTATTCAAATAACCTAACCTAACCTAACTAAAAATTTAATTCCAAGGTTCAAATCAGGAATGCAGAACAATTTGCTTGTTTATAGGTTGTTGTTGTTTATTTCCCAACTTAATTACATACTTATTATGTTGGGCAAATTAATTTTTCTTCCTTTGTGCATTGAAAACTATTTCTGTCTACCCATATCATTTGGTATCTTCAGAATGCAAATTTATTTGAATGCAGTTTAGCCCCTGTGATATATACTGAATAGGAAATTTGAATGAAGAGAGTTATTTCAGACTTAGCATGTATTTAATTCTTACAACAGCAAGTTCATAGATTAATTGCAAGTTGCTTAGATTTTTGTATAACTTGTTTAACTCTGATAGCTATCTAGCTATAACAATCAGTAAATTTAGCTGTCATTGAAAAAAGCAAGCAAACACAAGTATAATATGCAACCATGAAGGAAATTGGTTTGTTTTTTCAGAAGGTCACTATTCAGAGGTGCTTAATAAAATGAAGGAGCACTTTGTTTACCTGATATTCAAGGTCAAGTAAATGAAATATTTAGAAGCATAAATTAATACTTTATTCTTAATTATTTTGAGTAGCATAAAACTTGTTTCTGTCATATTTAATATGTTTTATAAATGATAGATTGGGTATCTAAAATTGATATTTTAAATTATATTAAAAAGAATCCATAAAAAGAAAATTTCTAGCTAAGTACCATTATTCATCTTATACATTTCTAAAATATTGTTTTACTATATATGTATTAAATATTTTCTTGTGTAGGGAACACCAGAGAGACCTACAGAGGCTGGTTTACGTTCTTTAAGAACAGCTCGAGTTCTGAAAGCAGGAATGGTGTTAACTATTGAACCTGGAATATATTTCATTGATCAAGTAAGCGTTGTTGCATATTTATTTCTAAATATTGCAGTAAATAATATATATATATGTGTTTGTGTGTAGGATAAAAGAAATATGTAAAGCAAAATAATAACTTAAATTTGCAATAGTCCTTTCTCTATTTTAATTCGGATATTTCCCCTTTTCATCCTGAAAATACAGTACAAAGTCCGAAATCCGGACTCGTCAGGACTTCAGCGATTCCGGATTTGGGATTTTTCCTGATATTAGATCATCAGTTTAAATCTAGTAAGATGACATGTAGAAATTATAAAATTAAAAATATGAAATCGTGATTTATGAAATAATAAAGAATTTATGATCTAAAGGGTTTACCTTATTAAACATTTCTTTCAATGTAAGTTGTTTCTTCTTTTTTGTGTGTGTGTGATAATACTTTCTCTCTAATTCTGTATAGAGACATAATCTCTTGTTTAGTTACATTGTTGCTATTTCGAGAATTCCAACTAACTTGCCAATCGAAATTTTCTCGTTTTCAGTAACTTCTGTGTCATTTTTTCACTAACGGTAGCGGTATTTTCTGTATCTAGAACCATACTACAGATTTCACCATTCATTAATTGATTGATGATTGAGAAGCATTGTCATCACAATGAAAAACTTCTTTTATATCATCTTCATTTATTACCACTTCTCTCAAATTTCTTTACAAAATCCGTTAATTGGAAAATTTCACCGTTGTTTTGCAATATCCGAAAACCTTTCAAATTAGTGGCTATCATCATCAAATTTAGCTCTTCCTTTCACTATTACATATTTGGCTCTGCATCATGAGCGTGGCGACTAACGACAAGTTATTCCGTTAAATTTTATTTTTCTTCTATTGTGCATTAAGACAATTAAGCCTGAATTGTATTAGTTTAATTATTTATTATTCTTATGTCTATTTCTTGCACATGCTTAAGGGTTATCAGAGTTCTGAATAAATAAATTCCCACATATACTTAAGCCTTATTGAGGGCTGGCACTAGATATCTCACTGCCTGATGCGGTCTCTGTGGGTCTTAAATTCTGCTACTTGATGCGGCCATACGAGCCCTAGCACTGGTTCTGGGTTTATGTAAATAAACAAATCAGTTATTCTTAAGTCAAATAGCCCTAAATGTAATCTTTGGAAATGTAATCTTTTATGTATCTATGTGGAATGTTTCAGTTTGAGATGTGTGTCAAGCAGACACGCAGCAACAGAGCCAAATTACAGATCGCACAAATTTTTGCTAAAATTTCTTCAGAAACAAGATATTTTATTTAGTGTCTTATTTAGTGAAGTGAAATTAAGAATCGGGACTCTCCAGCTGTTTTATTATGCATGGAGGGGGGAATCAAATGCGCATGCAATAAAGCCTACGAGAAAAACTTTGTTGGTGGTTTTGAGGTCTGGATTTTAGATCATTCTGGATATTGGATGTCCGGATTTCGGACTTTGTACTGTAATTTGAAAATTAAACCACTACTCATTTACCATTTGGACTATCCACGACCCTTCAAGAAATATGAAGTCCAGAAGAGCAGGTTAAATATTTAACAACAAAGCTTGGGTGACACATGACCTTTTTACAGATTGAATTAATGAAGTATTTGATCCGTCTATTAAAAAAGTCTGGAGATTGATTTGCAAGTTGCTTGTTATAGACAATGCTTCTGCATATACTCCAAGCCTATAAAATAACCTCCTTGAAGAATTTAAATTCATCAAGATCCAGTTCCTTTACAACAGCTTGTGGCTCAGCAGCTCATTTAAAATTTTGAAAAGCTTTACATTAAAGTGCTCTTTGAGCATTGTTTTGAGGTAACTGAACTCCCTCCAAAAGATAGTGAAAACCAATCTTTCACATTTAACAATCCTTTGCCTAACTACAGATTATCAACAAGGCATGGAAGGGGCTCACCATGAGAACCCTTATTTCTGTATAGAAGAACCTTTGGCCAGAAAACATTGTTAGACACGACTAACAATAACATTAAGACACAATAACACGCCGAATAAGTACTAATTCAAAAGTCAAACAACAAAAATCAGCGTTAATTTTCAAAATTTTCACAGAATTAGTTTCGATGGTTTTACCGAACCACTATCCTCAGCTGCAAAACCGCAAATGATTGAAGGCAGCTGACGAACCATCGAAACTAGTTCTGTGAAAATTTTGAAAATTAATGCTGATTTTTGTTGTTTGACTTCTGAATTAACAATAACATTGTTTGAATAAATGCCTGTGGAGTCTGTAATTGATGAGATTGTGTCTCTGATGAAGATTATAGGACTAGATGTGGATAGCAAAAACATCTGCGAGCTAGTGGACCGGCATATCCAGGAGCTGATCTTATAGAGCTACATTCTGTGTCACAGCAAAAGGTTGCAGAGATTTCATGAGAGAAGGAAATGATAAATCTCAACAAAGCAGCAGCCTTCCAGTAGGATACAGTAGATGCTAAAAGCATGGGAAACTGTTGCATCATACATTGAGAAGCACCATTCTAATAAGACAGTAATAATGCATGCTACAAATTTATTTAACAATAATGCTGTGTCTCATTGTCATCAAATATTGATATGTAGGTAAAACAAATGTCTTTGGATAATATTCTTGTAAAAAAGTATGTATTGTATATAATAAATTATCAGGTTCACAATAAAGTAATTTAGGTTTTTAGGGTGAAATAAAACTCAATTTTTTATACAAAATATGAACTTTAATCTGTCGTATATCTTCCATTCCGTATAATGACTTTTTGCCATCTTTCTGATAACTTCATAATGCTGTGCTCTTAGAACTTCTGGTCTTGATCAACAAAAAACTCAACCAAGTGTGATTTGAGGTCATAGTTATTAATGAAATTTTTACCATTTAAACTTCAAAACAAATTTCAATAAATATTTAATATAATTATAATATATTAATAAATATTTATTTAAATATTTTATTAAGTTGTTAGATGCAGCCTTCAGTAATCCAGAACAAGCTAAATATTTGGTCCATGATGCTATACAAGAATTTCGAAATTTTGGTGGTGTAAGTATAAACATTAATTATTTATGCAATTGACTAAAATCAAACCTTAGTTATATATTTAAGTATGAATCGTAGATGTTAATTTGCCTTTACATTACCTTGACTTTATATCTCTATTTGAGTAAGTTTTCTGTCAAAGTTTTCTCTCTTTTCAGTACAAACTCAGTAAATGCGTTTGTAGCATTCTATTTATTGTCACTCATAATTAGTGGCATTAAACCACTTATTCAAACAGTTCTCTTGGTTCGCTGTTGACAAATTATCTTTTACATGCTTCTGACATATTTCTTATTATTGATGAACTACAAAAAATGTAGGAGATTGTGGGGCTTTTTGTAGAGCACGTGATCTTTATCTCCTAGACTTTAGTTTTAGATGTGCAGACTTTAGTTTATGCAAATTGACATTTTAGTAAATATGACTGTAAGGAGGGGAAAGTGTGATTTATCAGATATTGAAAAAATATGGTAATTACTAGCCAAAGAGAACTAGTATTTTAGGTATGGTAGAATTTGTCAATAGAATTGCTCTGGTGCAAGTTTGGTGGCTGAATAGCATTTTGAGATCTGATGTGGCATTGTTAGAACTTCATACAGGAAGTTGAACATTGGCAATGAGGACTGGTTAACATCCTAATGTGCAGCAATTCAGTGAAGACATTCATTATGGAGCAAAACAAGGGTGAGTCTTCAGATATATGCCCAGAATTATTGTGCAGTAAATCTTGTTGTGAATGGTATTCAGATGCATTATTGGATCTATGCTTATGAAAATTCATTTGAAAAAAGACTGCAGTTTGACTAGAACTGCCAATACTGGACTTTATCTTCATTGACAATGAATTGCATTCTCTGATAAGTCTTTTGAGCTCTAGTGGATAAACTGAGGCTAGTTTGGGACGTGTTAACATCCAGCAACCATTATTAGACATATACAAGCCCATGATTGGAGCATTATAGTCTGGAAAATAATTTTTATATGATTTGGTTACTTCTGGAGAGCACTTTCAATCAATATGGATGTTTTTCCTCCTTGCTAATCGAGTACACCCATACATGTCAAGTCTTCTTTACAGATAGTAGGATGTGCTAATAAGAAGTAGAATATCATTGTTCAAATCTTCAAGAATAACTTAGCAGAGATTTCAACCCAATCAAACAAATTTGGAACTACCTCAGTTGGCATCTGTTACATGTTTTCTACGTCATTCGGCAAGAGGGCACTGCCTGTGCACCAGTAGTCAGTGGCAGGGAGAGATTATGTGCATAAGATGTGGAAGGCTGAGAAAGCTAATAATGTATATAATTGTTTAATGTTTATTTGTTGTAAATTAATTTTATTACATTAACAGATTACAACTGCATACTGGAAGCATGGATTAATCCATGCATATTTGTCTTTTTCGAAAGTGGTTGCTTTAAAAATTGACTATGAGCGATGTTTAGTATCATTACTTATGTTTTTAGGAATGCTGGTTACAGTGATAGAGGAAGTTTCAATGTATTTTTATTTGTCAATGTGTGTTTATCACTAATGCATAGTTATACATTCAATTCCTCCATAATAAATACACTATTTCTTTATAATTGAAATTTATTTAGTGCTTTTATTGACTTAAGTATTAATGCTTTTGTAATAAAATTTGCAGATTAAAATAATTATGAACTAAATAAGCATATTCATGCTTTTATTGGACCTTAAAATCTGGATAATACTGTATGTAGAAATTACTTATTATGAGGAACTATCAATAGTTAAATCATTTAATGCTTTAATATAATTTAGACTTATGTGAAAATAACCATTACAAGCTGAATGTTAAATGCAAAAGTTTAGCAACAGACTGATCTAGACACAAACAGCTCTTCCAGTATTAGGCTGAAACAGTAAAAATTTTTCTATATTTCTATATTTTCTATATTTCATATAGTAATATATGAAATATGATGATTTACATTAAAGTCAATTGAATCAATTGAGCAAGTTTTGATTCCAGTTACTGTAAATAATAATCAAGGATCTATTGTTTTCATATGTAAAGCTTAAATTTTTATCATTAGGTTCGGATTGAGGATGATGTTCTTATCACAGAAAATGGGATGGAAAATTTAACATGTGTACCACGAACTATAAAAGAAATTGAAGATTTGATGGCAGAAGGTCAAAAGGATACAATTACTTTTCCTCAACAGAAATTGCAATAAACTACTTTATAATGAATGTTTTGCCAAGACTGCAATAAATATATATTTTTATACATTATATAAACTGATGCACTAATGGATTACAAACTTGTTAAGGACTATTGTAAAAAATTCAAATGTAATGTAAAATGTTTAATGAAGAGAATATATTAATACAATTTATTAATGAACTTGTTTATTTCACATTCTACTTATTAAAAAAAACCTTGTAATTACGAAATTTATGTACATGTATATCAATAGAAAATTTTACTGAAAAATAAAATAGCATGTAGCCAGAATAAATTAATGACATGACAAATGTGAATATTTGTAAACAAATATTTTGTAGATCAATCAAGAAAATATATGAATATAATTCAATGATGTAAATTGATTGATTGCATATTTATTCATTGATTAATATAAGCATTTAGTAATAAATGCAACGCACTTTGTGGAATGGTATATGTTCCATCTCTTTTGCATGCTGTCTGCGATAATCCCATAAATAATTGTCTATAAGTATGGAATTAAACAAAATACTTTGTTCCACTTCACCTTGAGCTTGCTTTCCTTTTATGTACTGGCACATCAACTGGAAACGCATAGCATTCATAATAATGAAATACATTTAATCAAATATTTAAACAGAAAAAGATGAGGCACAAAAATGGTCAATCTAATCATATAATTCTTAAAGATACGAAATTACATCAGCTCATTAGAATCTTAAAACGTTAATTCTTAATTACCAAAAAAGTAGTATTTCACTTGCATTTACTGCATTTATATAGCAATATATAAATTTTTTTAATAAAACTCATTTACCTCCACTGCCCATATTGTACAACCCCTTATCTCTACTTCATATCGATCTCCATTTTCTAATAGTTCACCTGTCATAATACAAAGTTAAGCATTAGTTTCTAGGATGAGATAGTTCGAGTCTTAATAAAGATTAAATCATTATTTTTCATTGTTACATAAAATATATATTTCAAAAATGGGCTGTGAATAGATGGAAAAAAATGAATAAAAACATAAGCATCAGTGAACATTTGTATGAAACAAAAACAAGACATAATTGAAACAGGTAATTTTTTATATCATTAATAACTAAGTATTCCAAAACATTTATTGCCGATAGATGGCAATATCATATGCTGTGATGAAGTCAGTGCTCTTCACTAATTAGCATGCATAGAGAAAACATGATGGGAAGAAGGTTGTCTATCAAGCAGCAGGTGCTACTTTGGTAGATTGCACGGATTTTTGGCAATTTACTTTGGCACGGTTTTTACAATCGTCAGTAATCTTGAAAAATGCTGTTTTTACGTATTTTGGACACAGTAAAGTATTCAAAACTTTAAAAAAAAAATGGATTAATTTTTTGTTGAAGACGTTTTTTAAGATCTCAGGCAAATGTAAATAAATACATTTACTATGAGTATAAAATACTAAAGTAAGGTATTACTTTTATATAGCAATGAAATAGAATAAAACTGCTATAAAAACATTGCGCCAACATTTAACTGGATTAAAATATTACTTAAACTGAATATCGAATTAAAAAACATCATACCAATGTTTAAAAGAATTAAAATATTACTTAAATTCAAATTCTTTAAGTAAATAAGAACGCTTCATACAGTACAGCTAAAAAAATTACAGCAATTAGAAGTTTACTGCCGGTAAAAGAGAAATGTCTAATACTTTTTTTATCGTTACAGCGGTTATTTCTTCCACCGTGACCACAATACCATATTCGGACGTCCTCAGAATCAGCTCTTTTAACAATCTTCATCCGCGATCCACATTTCTCGCACTTCATTGAAGCAATAAGCGAGGTTTCCTCCAAAAAATTTTTAATAAATTTCCTCTGACCCTTGTAACAATTTATAAATAAATCTTTGATTAGGAAATCCAGGTTGGCCAAAATAAGGTCTCAAAGGACAATTTTCTGATTCCGATACCAGTAATTCTTGGTACTTGCCAATAACAGCATTAATCTTTGAAAGGGTCATATCCGTTCCCTATGAAATCTAAGGAATTTGCAGCGATGAATAATAAAATTTTAAAATGTTGCGGTAATGCACAAATATTCACTAACCAATCAGGGAGCTCATTACATCATGCATAGAATTAAAATTAATTAATTAAAAATACAGAATAAAATCATTTTTTTAAGAAAAATGCAAAATTAAATTGTATTTTAATATTTAACAGCCATAAATAATGTTTAAAACATTAGATTTAAATTTATAGATATTAAAACCAATTACTTTTAAAGCAAGGAGACGTCATTGATTACATCATCCACAACATAAAATTATGTAAAATATCATACATAATAAAATTTTTACTTCAAATAAAAATGCAAAATTAAATTGATTTTTAATATTTAGAAGCCATAAATAATATTTAAAACATTGAATTTATGCATAATAAAATGCATTATTTTTAAAATAAAATAACAACAAAGTATCGGTTACCATTAATAACTTGTCCAGCAATGTTTTTGCCATAAGTCGTATAGCTCGCCAAAATCCATGCAATCGTCTACCAAAGTAGCACTAAGCAGCACGTAAAATGTGTGTGCATTTTCTCACTTCTCTATGCATGGACTAACAATGTATTAGAAGTCCAGTGCACGATATTGAAGAGTTTGAACTACCTGCAGTCTACAAAGACAATGTCGTCTGAATAAATAAGTAGTTTGATAAAAGTCTCAATGCTTTTAATCCCAAGCATCTTGGGCAACAGAGAACTGCCCGAACTGCAGACACAATAGCATGTGTTGCTGTGGAACTGGCATTCTCTCCTCAATAATTTAAGTCTATCCACCGTTTGTTGGCCCTGCTAGACATATCGATGTAGAGAGTTTTGAGTGACATGAAGCTGCTGCCATACTATTTATGGCTCGTTCATGTTTTTAATGAGCAAGACTTCAACTGACGAATTGAGTTGTCAGCCGAATTGATGCTGACAGAGTTTCAGGAGTACCCTGATCCTATCTGGAAGTATTGTCTGGACTGATGAGGCCAAATTTCACACATTAGGTTTGATCAACAGATACAGCTGCATATTTTAGAGGTTAAAAATCCAATGCCACTACTGAATGTTAATTCCGAGTCCATGGTGTGAGGCAGCGTGATATAGAAAAGATTGGCTCTTTCTTCCTGGAAGGTCACATCACAGGAGAAACTTACCTAAAGCTGCAGATACTGTCATCCCAGAACTTTGAACTGTGGTAGCAATCAGATGGCGCCCCACCACAATTCTCAAGTGGTGTTCAGGGAATTGTTGCAGCAAGTTTTCTCTCAATGCTGGACTGGCCATTGAGGACCTGTGAAGTATCCAACATGGTCACCAAACATCACTCTACTAAAACTCCTTTGGGATTAACTTAAAGATAATGTGTATGCTAATCCCACTGACAGTGAACAACATTTGCATTTGCATATTCAACATTGTTCGGGTGAAGATGAGCAGGAAGGTACGTGAAATGATGCAGGACTCCATATAGGACCTGTATATGTCTCGATGCCTCCCCTGGTATTGCATCATGTATTCGTGCAAGATGAATTTTAAAACCATTGATTTGTAGTTTTTCTTCTAATAAATGGTTCTTTTGCTTTCATATGTAAAATTCTGTTTAATCAAATATTGTCCTCATTGTTCATGCTTCTGGTTATGCAGACATCAAAACAAAATATTTTTAGATTAGCTTAAATCAGTAGTTTCAAATTTTGCAGTCCTTGATTCGTGCATGTACTCATGTGAATGCTTATTGTTGCATGAGCATATCTCCTATATGAAAATGATAAATGACTAAGACTTATCATTTATTATCAAGTGCTTCAAGAAGTTACAAAGGAAGATTTGTGTAATAATAATATTCAGGCTATGTGATCACATGTTCTTATACATTCATATATACTTCGAAGTAAATGCAGCAAAAATAAATGAATCCATTCTAAAACCATTAAAGTTGGAAGAAAAGGAATTTTTAAACTTTAGAGTGACATTTTTAAAATTGTGTGTAAAAGAAAATTTTTAGAATTACTAAATTAAAATTTGTCTTTATAGGATACAGTGTAAAAAAAAAAATTGTTTTTAATCACACTACAGTAGAAGTCCAGAAATCTGCAACGCTTGGGACCAGAGGTTGCATGGATTTCAGGACAGAAAAGATAATATTCAGACTAAAGGTGCAAAATAAATAAGGCATATTAAATTATTATATACATTAATACAATATTTAATTATAGCATTAAATTATTATTAATATATAAACTGATTATATTATATTGTTCATTTACATTAGGCTCCTCTATTTTTAAATCAGCACGAATCTGTTTCTCCTTTTCTCTCAGGAGTAGTCCTGAAATAGGTACCCCATCATTCCACCAAATCACTCGTACAAGACAGCATTGAAGCTTGCCGATTTCGCCTCATGTAAAGATTTCCGGTTTCGGATTCCGGTGTTAGAATAACTGTTGCTGTAAAATTTCAACAGCTTTTCTTTATTGTTCCGTATATCATATGCAGTCCGTGTGGCAATTTCGTACAATTCTGCTCTAAACTGAGCAGTAGCACCTGCCTACATCTTTAGCAGAATTTCCACTTTTTACTTACTTGTACAAAGTAAAAAGGAAGTATTGAAATTCCAAAAAGTTTCAGACAGCATATTTCAACGAAAATATCCATCTTGACCATTATCGAATGCAATTTAACGATGTTTTTGCGTGACATCTGTACGTAAGAAAGGAATAAAAGACTCTTTCCCTCCAAAAAAATTATAAAACTGCTTTAAAATGAATTCTAAAGAAAATTTTTCATGGCGTCTGTATGAACATATCTCACATAACTCAAAAACGAGTAGCCTCAGAACGTTAAAATTTTGTATATACGACTGCTATGACATGTAGATGTGCACCTCGTATTTTGGTTGCAATCGGCCGTACCAAACATATATAAATATATTTATATATCCACTCGGCTCAGTGATCTCAGTTTCTTTACTCTTATATGTTTGTAAAATGTACATTTTTTCCTTTAAAAATGATTGATTTATGTTGTTCTTATCTTCCCAGTTAAGGTTTTTATGCCTTTCATAAATCAGGAAGCAATATTTGTACAATTATCAGCAATTTAAAAGCTGTTTAAGTGTGGTTAAGTTTTAAATAACACGGCAGACATATTTGTTTACATTTGAAACAGCAGAATGATTTGTTTCCCAATCTAGAGAGACTAAGCTTCGTAACAACAAAGATAAGGCATTCATTTATTATTGCGAATTAAATCATGCTTAATCCTTTCTGGAATTTTTTCGATGAATTAAGTGTTTAAGATTTACTTCGTAATTTTTAATACAGATATTTTGAGTTTTTATGTATTTCTGCCTTGTCGCGAAGTGAGAAAACTGAATTAATTGAATGAGATATGCTGAATCATCTGTGAAAACTGTTTCTTTTTTTGTTTTGTATAGTATTTGAACAGAGCATGTGGCAACGATTAGATAATTCTTCAAATGATATAAATTTTGTGCATTCTGAGTTTTAATATGAACGAAATATTAGTGAACGTAGTGCCAGAGTGTTGCTATGTTAAACAAATATAGTGAATTTTAAAGAGTGCATTTATTCTATTGTGGTTTATGTGCTGTCAGTGAAGTAGATTTAATTCAATCCAATAAGTTTAAATGAAATGCTAGAAAAAAATGCATATAAATAATATTCCGTACAAGGAAGTCATGCGGTGTACACATCATATTTTTTCATTACCATCAATGCAATGTGAATACATTTTTCAACGTTGCAAGCAGTAAAATCACGAGTGCGTTTCTTATCTGTCATTGTATTGAAAAGCGCTGAAATTTAAAATATTCTTAAATTATCCACAAAATATCCGGATTAAAAAAAAAATCATCACTAAACAATCTCAGAAAGTACAACAACATGAAGCGGGAACTTGAAAGAAGAGTTGACTTAATCGTCTGCTTTTTTACCTTGATGCAGATTGCAGGGGAAAAAACTTCTATCACGATGTCAATAATTTGGTATTTCCGTTATGACTCATCGTTATTCTGTAATTATGAGTCATTATCCAGTAAGTATTTTTTCTTCGATATTTCATACTCCATGTTGCGGTTTCCAGAACCTATAAACTAAATGTTTATATTTTGAGAATCAACTCGGATTTCAGGTCCTAAGATTTTTGGTATTTGACTGTATATATAATTGCTTACAGCCGAAAACAACGCAAGTCGAAAACGTCGTGGTATAAATCATCATGGGAGAAAATAAAGCAAAGGGAAAACATTGCAGTACGTCGTGGTACAAAATATCGTCGTTGAAAATAAAGCAGTTCAAAAACTTCGCAGTTTAGAAACATCGTCGTCAAAAATATCGTGGCAAAAATAAAAGTACCTACAAATCATCACATGACAATAATATTGCAGACATGCATTTTTCAGGCTTTAATTATTGTAAATGGATATTCGCATAATGATTTGTAGGCGCAAGATGGAATTTTTAGTTTCATATTTTTATTAACTAATAAATTTTTTAAAAACAGAACAAGAAATAATTTTCACTAAAAGAGTACCAGATTAACAAAAGTAAAGAAAATAATCTCATAATTAGCAATTTTTTAAAGAGAAAGTCATGCAGTTACTTATCTTACTTTTTCAATTCTTTTTTTAGATTATACTTTCATGAAAAATTACCAGTCAAACTTCATAAAAAAAATAAAATGACCTTTGTTAGTTAATTATGTCAGTTTAAAATTCTATTAAGTGCTATAAGTTGCATCAATTTTCTATGCTTAAGTTTCCATTTTACATTTTCAACAAATATTTATTAGTTATTAAAAAATATGAAAGTAAAAATTATCCTTCTCTCCATCTTGCACTTACAAATTGTTATGCAAGTATCCTTTTACAATTATTAAAGCCCGAAAAACACATGTCTGTGATGTTATCGGCATGTGATGATTTGTAGGTACTTTATTTTTTATGATGTTTTTAAACTGCAGAGTTTTTTAATCGCTTTATTTTCGACAGCAATATTTTGTACTATGATGTTCTAGAACTGCAATATTTTCTCTTTGCTTTATTTTCTCTGACGATGTTTTGTTCTGTGGCGTTTTCGCCTTGCATTGTTTTCGGTGGACATCATATAATTTATTTATTTTCATGATAATTAGAGTGAAATTGAAGCATATATCTAGAATTATTCATATCTTGATTGTTTATGAGCAGGAACATGATCCTATATCATAAAATGAGGTCCATTCTCATGAAATACATTTATAAAAATTGCATTGACAAATATTTTTACATCTTAAACTGCTCCTTTATATCTTAAATATATTAGCACAAATGATAAAAATTTTATGTTTGTTTTAGGAAAGGCATTGTCTACCATCTCATTGATGTATTGTAAATGTGCTTGTCAGTATAAAATATTTGGGACCATTGGTTTAAATCACCTGATCTTAACATTTCAGTACAACTGCTAAATATTAAAAATCAAAATACAGAATTTTAATTTTGGTTAACAGTTGTTTCAACTCAGTATTGTAAATGTGCTTATCAGTATAAAATATTTGGGACCATTGGTTTAAATCACCTGATCTTAACATTTCAGTACAACTGCTAAATATTAAAAATCAAAATACAGAATTTTAATTTTGGTTAACAGTTGTTTCAACTCATTAAGTGGAAGAACACAGTCCATCACAAAGAGCTTTATCTTGAACCAACAAAACCTACTGAATCTTTGTATCTAGGAAAAGAAAGTCCTACTCTAGGATTATCAACTAACACAAGGAAATAAAAGAAATTTCCATCCTAAACAAAAAGCTGGTGCAATAATCTAAATAAATAGGAATTCTAATTTTTGTATTGGCAACACTACCTGCATCATAAATTTGTTTCATATTTCTCTTAAATTATGGGCAGGCTATTCAGAAATAAGCAAAAAAAAAAACCCCACCAACTTATTGCTATTATGAAAAGTATATATGCTGGGTCACTGATATAATCCAAACAACATATTAAACAATAAGTGTTGTTTTAGTTAGATGGCATTCTTAAAAATGTAAAACAAGATATAAAATTATTCAAATTAAGTAACATTATAATTTCTAATTATCATGGAATAATTTATCTATTTAAAATAGCTGTATTCTAAGAATAATACTGCATTTTCATACATTACCTTCTTTCAACTTTTTTAAAAGTTCTTCAGAATATTCCAAAACACCCAAGTATACCAATACTTGAGGTATTCTACAAAGAGATTATAGTCAAATTAAAATAATTAACATACCTATAAATATATATATACATACCTAAAAATAAATGTAAACATTTGTTTAATGGATATTGCATTTGATACTTTTTTTATAATAAATTATACTCATAATCAAATTAAACACTAAAGCCATAAAAAAAAACTGTTTCATATAAAAAATCTTGCAACAATATATGTATATACATATACATAAAATATTATAATTTTTTTAATACACATATATATAATGTATTAATCTGTTGACTGTGAAACTATTGTAAGTTTTGTGTAGTGGCATAATTTAGTGCTAATTATGGATAAGCATGACAATAATAGCACTTTCGTTTGGTACAACCGTAACTGATTCTTGATAATTCACATTTTTCTTTTGTGAACACGACTATTGCTATATTTTTTTCATTTCCTTTTGAAAATGAGATTAAAATTTGAGTCAGCCTTCTACAGAATAGCAAGCAGTGAATTATTTTCAAATTAATAATATCATACCATAAAAAAATTGTGTATTGACGGGCACAATATACTCAGCTGTATGTAGCCAACAAAACAATAACAGACTGGAACAATTACCAGCAGAAAATTTGTACTCATAGTGTTCTAAATAGAGTTCCATATAAAATGAGTGTCTAGAAAAAAACTAGAAATCAACAAATGCTTTTCTACTAAGTGAAAATAAATGTAGTTTAAATACTGTTATTTATTAAATAAAAAGGCATCAGTTCCTTCAGAATTCCAAAGAAATGAATGGCAAGGTTTTTATGGTAGCCGATTTTCATGGTCGACAGGATAATATGCAAGTATAATAAAATGAAACATATATACAGTCAAAAGTCTTTAATCCGGAATGATCTATAATCTGGACCTCAAAGCTACAAAGTTTCTGCACACGCGTCAACGCATTAATGCATTGGTGGATGCGCATAATACCTTTACGCATGCGCATTTAATGTATAACGGACGGTATAAGCTAAGCTAATTTTCTATTTCAGTTAATGTTGCAGATTGCATTGTTCCTTAATCTTCGAACTGGATCCGCTTATTATTTTTTTGCAGACTGTTAGAGCAATTTTATAAAAGTAAGCTTGAAATTTCGATTATGTCAAAAAGAATTCCGATTCTGGAGCTGCCAAAGGATATCTACAATGCGAAAGTACGTTTCGATGTCCATCAAACAAAAAGTGGAATTAATTAAGACACAATAACACGCCGAATAAATACTGATTCAGAAGTCAAACAACAAAAATCAGCGTTAATTCACAAAATTTTCACAGGACTAGTTTCGATGGTTTTACCGAACCATCATCTTCAGCTGCAAAACCGCAAATGGTTCCGAAGATGATGGTTCGGTAAAACCATCGAAACTAGTCCTGTGAAAATTTTGTGAATTAACGCTGATTTTTGTTGTTTGACTTCTGAATCAGTAAAAAGTGGAATTGCTGCAAAAAAATGGATAAAGGCATATCCTTTGTTACTCTAACCATTCCAAAATCTGTTTATCAATTTCACGCTGCTCTGCGAGGGAGGGGAACGTCGCGGCACGCAATGAACTGGAAGTTGATCTGTCAGCACTATCCTTATCTTCAGGGCAGATGTTTTTATTTTATTCAGCTTATAATTCATTACTAAATGTAGTATTTCATCTCGATGTACTCTGTCTTTGATATGATTTAAATCAAATTCATTATAAATATCAGAAATACGCATCAAATAGTTTTCTGGTTGCAATTTTCTAATTTCGACTATGGGTAATGTATGCTTTATACATGCGCGCGTTGAAAGAAATGTTTAATAAAGTAAACAAATAAATATTAAGCTTTTTCTTTTGTAAATTTTGATACCCTTTAGATCATAATTGCTCTTTATTTCATAAATTACTTTTTCATATTTTTAATTTTATAACTTGCATGCCATCTTACCAGATTTAAACTGATCATCTATAATCCGGAAAAACCGATAATTTGGAATCGCCGAAGTCCCAACGACTACGGATTAAAGACTTTTGACTGTATATTAAAATTCTAGAAAATAGAGTGGATTCTTTGTGTAATATTTTTTAGTCTTTATATTATGAATAAGCTGGACATGAATTCTTAATAAATTCTTTACAAGCATAACAAAGATAAAGATTTATCTTTGAATTACAAAAATGTGAAAAATATTTTAAAACATAAACATACATAACATAGTCATTTACATGTTTAAATTGTGCATGTTTGAAAATTTGTTCCAGTAAGATGGCTACTAGAAATTATAAAGTTAACAATATGAAATACTTTCAATAAAATAGCACAGCATTTACAACCTTAAGGGAATCAAAATTTATAAAAAAAAAAAAAAAAAAAAAAAAAAAAAAAAAAAAAAAAAAGCACAATATTTATTTGTCTGATTTAACATTTCTTTTAACATAAATTGTTGAAGCTGTTTCATTTTTTGTGCTAATGCTTTCTCTTTAATTTTACCGACAGAAATTTTCTTGTTCGGTCATAAACCTCCATTATTCAAGTCCTGTAACTGCCCTATTGAGAATTTTCACTCCCAAAACGCTCATCATGGGTGTGATTCTCTAACCAGCAGATATTTGAAAGTGACACGCAGGAACAGTCGGAAGAAAAATCCTGTTACAGCACAGATGCTTTTTTTCTTTTCCATCCCTAGCCTTTGGAAGGGGATATAAAAACTAAAACAATGTTAAAACATTTGCTGGAGGTCCAGATATTATATCATTCTGTATAGTGGACCTGCACATTTCGAATTTTGTACTGAATTTATAAAATATAAATTTTATCACAAATGGAATATTGCAGATCCCTTAACCACGAAAGATTTTATACATGCTTATTAGAATAATACCATACACAATTTTATTTATCTACATAATAGAGGTTCTTTCTCATTCTGTATTTAGTAATTACTGTAAACAGTTCTAACTTGTAGTGTATGCAACTTCTGTATAGGCTGCTGCATTGCACACAATTAGAAAATATATTGCAAAACTAAATTTAAAAATCATTCTAAACATTTCTTGATTTGTAAAAAACACAGTTGAAAATAAGACAAATGTCAGTGAAATTAAGATAATCATAATTTACTGTAGTCATAACACTGTTCTGAATATAAAGCATTAGTTATTATGATTACCTAACTCTTTGACATCAATCCTTCAATTTGATGAACAGCTTTTGCTTTTGTATGGTCACATTATCAAATGACTTTAGACTGCAATTTAAACTTCTATATTTTAATAAACTCAAGTAGGTTTTTACTTTGGGTAAAAACTTCAACTCAAATAATATAAAAAATGCAAGCTATACCCCCAATAAAGGTTATCAGAATTTTAATATAGATTTGATACAGAATACAAAGCATATGTATCAAAATTGATTGAAAACTTTGTGCTGGTGGCACAATCAAATCTGGAACCAACTATCTCAACATCATACAAATTTATACTGAAAGATGAAGGTTTCTGAAGGTTGAAAAAAAAATTCTATTGTAAATTTTTATACAAAAAGATCCACTTACAGTACATCAATTTTGAAGCTGAAATTATAGGTGCACAGAAGTAAAAATAAAAAGTATAGAAATAGTAATGTATACCTGTAATCTGCAAATATAGTTATGGTATCAATATCTTCAAATGTTCCACAACTTTTGCCTTCAAAACATGCCCAAATATCTCCAATCAAAATCTGTGCTCTTTTATAAAAAGAAACTGAAAAATAAGTTTTATGGAATTTTAAAAACATAAACCTAAATTTAACAAGCAATAACTCAAATACATCATTAACATGTACCTTTATGTCCATCAATCTCTGCTTCATCTCTGTATGAAGGAAAATTTTCAACGATGAGTTGGAGAAGTTTAGCTGCACTTTTTTCACATAAAGCTAAGCACCTCACAAATGTTGCTTCAAATTTCTTAAGAAGAAATTATCTTTCAATATTTATAATTCAATAATCACAATTTTGTCTACATTATAAAACAGACAAATTTAAATAATATATCAATATGCAGAATTCCATGGAAAGACAATATCTTAAGTATTAGAATTTTTATTTATCTTGTATATGTCTTGTCTATATTTTTATTTCTCTTGTCTATTTTTATTTATTTTATCTATAAAAAATCTATATAACCCAGGGATAGCAAACCTATGACAAGTGTGTCACAATTGCTTAATACAAAAATTTTTGTCTCTTGCAACAGTCTCGTCACTGTCATCATGTGCTGCATCAGGTGCATTCAAGTGCATTCTTGGTAGGCAGATGGCAGACACATGATTCTACATGTGACATGGCAACAGAATTCAGCTAGGGTTTTCCTGAATTTTGACATACAGAGCTCAAAAGGTTCACCATCACTGATATAGCCCACACTGAGACAGCTTTCAAGAAGCTGACCTCTGTTAAAAGTAAAAGAAAAAAGTGACTTTTTTCAGTTGCAAAATGTTATAAATTAGTATTCAAACATTTTTGTCCTACATCAAAAGACAAAGAATTCTGAGAAATTAAATTTATTAAGTCATATGTTGTTAAGTCATAAAGTATTATCCCATTACATCCATATTCATATATACTTAAATATATGCAAGATAAAAAAGTATTTTTCTGTTACACTGGTTACCGGATTCAGAAATGTATACATGCATGTATGTATGTGTATATATACATACATTTCTGAATTTGATTCAAATAACAGAAAAATACCGATTAAAAAAAAAAGGCAAACGCCTAATTTTAACTGACAATAGCTTATGTTCTTCACTTTAAAAATTTTTTAGCTTGCTTTTATATATCATGCACTATTTTAAAATATGCTAAACTTCCAAAAATGTGGGGTGCATATTGCATCCATGATAATGCAAATCGGATTATGAATTACAAGAACTGTTTTAGCCAGAAATATACACTGCTGACCATTAAAATTGCAACACTGAGAAGGAACAATCTGACGAACGTCAAAATCACATGAAAGGAAGAAGCGGTTGAGGATATGAAAATAAATAGTATTTCAGCCCGTTTAGATGATGCAGGAGGGAGAAACGACATCTGAAGATCTGAATAGAAAAAAAAAACTGTGTAAGTGGATTTCTCATTCGGAAAATGCTTTGCAAGGTCAAAGTTTGCTCAAAATATCACGTTATGTCTCGAATAATAAGAAGAAATGCTTACCAGCAAGTGTCGGAATGTGATAGAGACAAGATCATTGCCTTTCGAGAGTGTGGATTATTGTTCTGTGATATCGTCCATTGCACTAGTCAACATCCTACCACTGTCATGTGAATATGGAATTAATGGGTTGCTGAGGGTCATACTGAACGGCATGCAAAATCTCAAGGCATTCCTATGAATAACGCTCAAGAGGACAGACATATTGTGAGGTAAGCCCTGCAAAATCGTACAACCACATCATATGGACATTGGTCAGGAAATGGGCATGTTTGCAGCATGCCTAGTATCCACTCGTACAATGCATGAACGTTTGCTTGCAGCCACATAGACTATCAACATACACGACCATTATTTTGGCTTCCCTTGACAATGCAGTATAGAGAGAGACGGTGATTCTGTTGCATAAAATGACAAAGCTGAATACAGGAGTAGCACAACATCATGTTTTCAATCAAGTACCGGTTCTTCATGCAATATTCTGATGGCCGAAGACACGTCTGGAGTGTCCAAGGAGACTGCACGTCACCTGCTTGCATTCGATAACGGCATAAAGGCTCTGCACCTAGTATGATGGTTTGGGCATCATTGGATACACGACACGTATATCTCTAGTTCGGATCAACGGTAATTTGAACACAGATGGGTACATTTCTGACATCTTATATCCAGTGATTGTGCCCTATCTTCAAGGCCCCCAAACACCATGTTCCAACAAGATAATGCAAGACTACATGGTGTTCTAATCTTCCTCAATACACAGGGTATTCAGTTGTTTTCCAAGCCTTGCATGGTCTCCGGATCTGTTACCCATTGAAAACATCTGGTCATGGATCACTCAGAGACTGGTCTACCACCCCTCTCCAGCTAATACGATTGATGAAGTGTGGCACAGACTTAAAGCAGCATGAAATGAATTGCCCATTTCTGTCATCCAAGTCCAGTTTGACTCCATGCCTAATGGGGGTAAGGGCCATTTTAGCTGCCAGGGTGGCAGCTGTTTCTACTAATTTCACATCCTTGTAAACCTCAAAAAGCTTACAAATTTAATCATTTTGTCTTCATGCCCTACTGTTTACGTGCAATAAATATCTTTTTTGCATTTGCTTCCCTTCATGGTGTTGCAATTAAAAAGGATTCTGCAGCATGTTCTTCTTTTGACAATATGTCATGGAGAAAGATGACGCAGATTATATTTTTCCCCTTTTTAAGATTCAAGTCAGCATTAATCACTTTGTTCACAGTTGACACTTAGCATTTTAATGATTATGCAACTGTCCTCTTTTTCCTTTTCTTTCTTACAGTCAATATTATCTATCATTGCTTTATATATCGAAAAATCATGGCTTTCACAGCATTTTTTAATACTAAATATGAATAATGTTCTTTGGAAAGAATACAAACATAGCCTTCCATCCACTGCTTCTTTAACCGCTTCCCTTACAAATTTTTTGAAAAAAATTGCAACATATCATCACATTTTTTTATTTTATCATTAAATACAAGAAAAGAAAATATGCAGGTTTTAAGTTGAATTTTTTACAGGTGTAAAAGTATTTAGTTTTAATATTAGTTTACTATCCCGAGTTATCTCAGGCAAATGAAAAAAAGTTATATATTAGTCTTTATATGATAGTTTTTGAAACAAGGGACAACACAAAGTGATACCTGCCCATTCTGTACACTGTTATCTGGTCTCTTTTTCTTACTGGCTTACCTCTGGAATCTCTTTTACAGGAGCACAGAGTACACTGTCTCATTGGGTTTGATTTTTTTCAGTAGCAGGAGTAACATCTGTAAAAGACCTTGAGGTTAACCTGAGTGGTGAAGTACTAATGCTGCCCTGAATGTGGCAGAAAACTTGTCACGATGATTTTCTGAAATTAGTTTTTCAATTAGTTCCATTCTAAATTGTTTAGGTGATCATGAACCTCCTGATTTACAGTACAAAATGTAGGAATTCCACAGGGCCAAATCCAATAAATGGAAGAAAATCTTATTTTTCCTCTTTTTTTGGGTGTAGTACAAACACTAAACTTTATCTCTCCCAGTTTATTTGTCACATCCTGCATTTTGATTGTATGCATTGTGGAAATTATACTAATATCCTTCTTATCTTTTTATTTCATTACAGTTACTTTCCCTCTCTGATACCCAATAATTTTTCCTTTTTAAAATTTATTTGCCTTTAGATCACGAGGTAAATCTTTTCTATTCAATTGGAGCGTTCCACACATATTAGTCTTCTTTTTGACTAGCATATCAGCCAAACCTGACGAGTTATAAAAATTGTCCATAGTAAGGCAATATCCTTTGTCCAGCAGTGGTTTTGTAAGAGTCATCACAACTCAAGCTGATATAGGAAGATCATTGACTGAATTATTGAAATAATTCCCATTCCACACATACCCATTCTTAGATTCGCACAGTAAGAAACTCTTTTTATTCCAAAGCACACTCTCTTCAAAGGGATCTAGTGCACCCACCCGAGAGTCTTCCTTTATAAAGAAGTAAACTTTCATCTACTGTTACATCTCGTTCAGGTATAATTGCACTCTGAAACTTCTCAAATAAATGTTGCAGAATTGGCCATACCTTATTTAGTTTGGGACAAGGTTGTGTACTTGCACCATATGCATCATTGTTGCTGAAGTTTTGCTTTATCTGTCAAAATCGTCTGTATGACATTGTTTTTTCAAAAAATGGCATATTCCATACGTGGTTTTTACTCCAATAATTTTGCAGATCTATTTTTTTTATAACACCTTGGAGAATAGCTATTTCCTCCCCCCCCCCAAAAAAAAAGCTTATTTCATTTTGAGAAGTAGAACACCACGGTTTTGAATCTAGTCTACGAGCAAGCTCTTCCGCATATCGATTTGTTTTGGTTGTAATAATGTCGATCAATTCATTATCAAAATATTTATAGAAAAATTCCAAACCATTAGAGATATCAATATTGAAATTCATACCTGCATTGTCAGTAAAAGTAAATGAGCAGGTGCAGGTGGCAACTTCATTTTTTGAAGTGCACAGCATTGACGAGCTGCCGGCAAATCGTCCGAATCCGAATCACTTGAACTATCATCTTCAATAAGGCTATGTATAGAAAAGTCACTTCCACTATTTTCAATGTCCACATCTTCATAATCAATATCTGAAAAATCATCACTTTTGCTATCTTGCATCATCGCCATTATTTTACTTTTTTCAACGGAACTATCCTTCTTTATACATTACTAATCCACAAGACAAGGTATACTATGCAATAGGGAAAACACATAACCAGTCCCGCCAAAAGAAACATGAAAACAACAAAACTTGGCAAACTGCTAATCAAAGCTAAATATTTCCTCCAGACCAAGTAAAACCCTGATAAAACAAATCATACTAACAAATTCTGTTTCGCCCGAGTTTTCTCAGAATAATAATTAAGTGCAATATATACAAACCTGAGATAACTTGGGACAATCACGCAAATGGTTAAAAGTGACGTTTTGCATGAAAACAAAATTGTCAAATAGCAAACGATAATTTTCACTTTCAATAATATACTAGTTGCACTTAAAAAAAATTTCGAAGCAAGTGTTTTTTTTTAATAGCAAAGCAAAGTCATCTAAAAAATGTGCGAACAGCCTCTGCATTTTAACCATCAATTCAGTTCTCTTTCTCCTCAATGCATTTTTTGTTTATTTCTGAGAACTGGGCCAATGAGCTGCTTAGAGAGCCAAATAAACATTTTCCACTAATTCTCAATGTCATAAATGAGCTCATGCCTTTTTGTGGGGATGCAGATAACAAGAAATCACAAAAACATTTAATATTTTATATCAAGTTCTAAACATAAATAATTCATGAGTGATATCCAAATGCCTTTTTATTTATTAATTTTTTGAACAAAATCAAAGAATGAAAAGAATAAGTTCATAAAATTATTATTATGTTTTTATACAACACAAATAATCTGCTCCCTAAGCAATGAAGAAATTATTAAATTATAAATTCCGAAATGTTCAGAAGTTTTAACACTTATCTACAAAACTTTAATAAAACTGTTCATCAAATCCATAAATACCTAAAAGAAATTAATACAGTTAAAATTAAAATGCATAGAGTGTAAAATGATCTTACTTCAACAAGGCATTTCCCAGTCTCATTAAGTACCTTTTGCCGTTCTTCTAGCAAAGGCAGCTCTGTACCTGTATCAGATCTGAATATGTGTTGCAAAGTATCTAAGGATATGTTGGAATAGTACACTGGTGAAGTGATGTTATACCCTTCCTATATGAAAAAAATATATATATAATTGCATATTATTATTGTTCTTACATATGAATAAAAATTAACATCTTTGAAATAAATGTATTTGAATAGTTTAATTATGATAATAATTTATAACTTAGATTGTCATTCTATATTTTAATAACAATATTCATTGTAATATTTAAATAACAGTTTAACCTTCTTGTTTGCAAGACTGTATATATAATTATATATATATGGCCTAATTTTTTTTAATATTTTTAAGAAAATACATATATGCACCTTGAAATATATCCAAGAAATTAAGCCAATATATTAAAAGTACATAAATTCAGGTGTAAATTATTATACATGTTTTGGCAGTAAAATCAAGAAAATACCTCTGTCTCATAGGAGTTTTGGAAAATTTGGGTTTTTTAGCAAAACCCCTCAACTTTAAGATATGTTAACATGTGAAATGATTTGAAATCTCAAGCATCAAAGTGGTCCAATATACACAAAAGAAACACATTCATGTAGAAACATCTGTGTGTGTGTATATGTTACTCAAAAGTACTAAGTAGTAAGCTGACTATATGTACATACAAGTTTAAAACAGCAAACATGAGAAATTTTAAATTACACCATTATACATTTTTTCAAAAAAAAAAAAAAATCTGTTCAGAGCTTCAAGTAAAATATCCCTTCTGATCTATTTAGCATCTATCTTTCTTCTACTCTATTTTAACTTTAGCAAAAATTTAATATATTATTTCCATTAATATAAAAGTCTTAAATACTAGAATTAAAAAGTGTTGGATTAAATTTTAATAGTTTTCCATTAACTGTTATAGGTTTCAAGTAAAGTACCACATCTAGTTGCCCAGTTTTACCCAAAATCTTTATATGAATGCAAAAAGCTTATACATATTTTACTTTATGTATTTATTTTGAAAATTAATCAGTTAACATACTTACAAACAGAGTTCCCCCATCTACTATTCTAATGGAAATTTTATGATGATCAATTTACAACAGATTTAAAACATTCATTCTCTTCAGTGATATTGTGACAAGACAAAATACTGTATTCCTGCAGAAATTTTACTACAATTTCTTCACTGCTGGCAAATTTCACAAGCACATATTTTAAATTTGAGTCTGAGGGGGGGAAAATTACGATTTATCTTTAAAAACCAATGGAACTTGGACAACGAAAAGAATGCATTTGAAAATGGGGACGCTGCTTGACTGAAGAACTGTTATCAAAACGGTTGCCAGAGTTTAATATCTGAGAATTTAATTATTTATACTGAGGTGGTTAAGCTAATAGAAGTACCAAATTTTGCATTTTTTATTTATTTATTTATTTTATTTTATTTTATTTTTTTTTTAATATAAAGATATACATGACAAGAATAGTACAAAAGGAAGAAGGATATATGAAAAAGTTAGTTTCCAAATTCCATTATTTTTAAACTTGCTCAAAGAAGAAAAACAACTACAACATAAATAACAAGAGATGATAGTGTATTTTTTCCCCTCAATGGCAGATTGTGAACAGTTACAATTTTATAACAGATTCCATTAATCTATACTAAGGCCAAATATGGTGGTCTCTTTATTATGGAGGCACCTAATAGGTGGGCCACCATTGCCTCCTATGAAGGGATGAACAGTTACAACCATGCCTTCTCCGAGATTCGAACCCAGGCCCTTCAGTATCGCAGTCAGTCTCCCCCAACCTCTATACCATCTGGGTGTTTCAAAACATTGTTCTGGGAAAACAGAGGTAGTAGAAATGTTAATATACACTTCCAGAATCAAAGATTACAATAGAGAATGTAACTACATTAAGTGCTTTCATTCAAGAAATACCAGTACATCATCTAATGAGCACTGTTGACGACAAATATTACCAATTGTTCCAATATAATATGTAATAAAATTCAATAAGAGATTTTGTTGTGTTTGGAAATATAGTAGAAAACTTGAATTATTCACTGAAAAACAAGTATTAATTGAGGATTAAAGAACAATGTTATACTGATTTATCAAAATAATTAAATAATAATTTTAAAATATACACTAATTATTACCTCTATAGCTCTGTTGACAGCAGCACACAAAGACCAATAGCCAGTATATGTTTCACCATGATAAGTTATTCTATATTCTTTCCCAGGCTCAGACCAAAATGAAAAATTCAGTGTGTCCACTAGAAATATCCAATCAACAGTGAATGGAAGCATTGGATCTTTTGGATTCAAAGGATGAGTCTTCCAAGTCTTTAAGTCAATGTGATCACTTTGGAAACCTTTGATAATCTACATAATGTAACATCAAAGACACCATAATCAAAATGATTTGCAAAAAAACAAACATAAAGGGTTCTTCTTAATGTCAAAACAATTATAAGTTTAAAAGACAAGATAATTTTTGAAGAGGTTATTTTATTTAAGTGAAACTTTCAAAATAAATTCAAACATATACAAAATTTGTCAGTGCAATTGGACATTTCAAGTTGTTTTACCGATTGTTCATCTAGATTCTGCTTGTCATATTTATCAGATTTCAGATTGTCAGGCTTATTAAACTGGCAACACTTTCATCTCTTTCACTAATATTCTTAAATACATGAACATAAAACATTTATGTTTAGTTTACAAACAAGCATCAATAAATTCTTCATAGATAGTCATTACACTCACCAGATTGGCAGCTTTTTTAACACCATCTTGTGAAATTGTGACATCTTTTGACAAACGAGAGATAAGTGAAGCTGATTCTCTTGGATACAGAGCCATCTAAAATAATATATAATGCATTATAAGGCAACATATGGCTGAAAGATGAGAAACAACATTAAAATAAAGCCTGTGAAACATTTACACTCATGATTAGATACAGACTCTAAACTCATTACATTTTTACTGTGTAGATACAAAACGTAAGTAATATTTAATCACAGTACTAAATTTAATGGTCCAGGTTCTGTTTGATACGAATGGACTGTGTTTGAATATGTTAATACATGAACTCTAATAAATAAAAAGGCAAGTGACTTCTCTTATATATATTTCCAGTTCTTATTCTAATACAGTCAAATACCGAAAATCCGCCAACTCCTGAAATCCACGTTGCCTCTCAAATTATAAACATTCAGTTTATAGGTTCCGGAAACTGCAACATTGGGTATGAAATATCGAAGAAACACTTACCGAATAATAATGAGTCATAATGGAAATACCAAATTATCAGCATCATGATAAAAGTTTCACCCCCCCCCTCTAATCTGCATCGAGGTAAGAAAGCAGACGATTCACTCAACTCTTCTTTCAAGTTCACGATTCATGTTGTTATATTTTCTGAGCTTTGTTATTTTACGAGATTATTTAAGTGCTGCCTTTTTTTTTATCCGGCTATTTTAAATTACGAATATTTTAAATTTCAGCCCTTTTTAATACAATTACAGATAAGAAACACACTCATGATTTTACTGCTTGCAACGTTTAAAAACGTAAAGGCGTTGCATTGATGGTAATGCAAAAAGTGCAAATTCTGCAAAAGATGGACATAGGTGCATTTTATAGCAGAATCGTATGGAATTGTGATATGATTGTGTATGATATACGGTAAAATAAAGAAAAGCTGTTGAAATTTTACAGCAACAGTGATTCTAACACCGGAATCCGAAATCATTGCATGAGGCAAAATCAGCAAACCTCGATGTTGTGTATATACAGTCAAAAGTCGTTAATCCGGACGCCCATAATCCGGAATGATCTAGAATCCGGACCTCAAAGCTACAAACTTTCTGTACATGCATCAATGCATAATGCATTCACGCATGCGCATAATACGTTTACGCATGCGCGTTTAATGTATAACGGACGGTATAAGCTATGCTAAAATTATCTATCTATTTCAGTTAATGTTGCAGATTGCGTTGTTCCTTAATCTTCGAATTGGATCCAGCTTATTATTTTTTGCAGACTGTTAGAGCAATTATATAAAAGTAAGCTTGAACTTTCGATTATGTCAAAAAGAATTTCTGATTCTGGAGCTGCCAAAGGATATCTACAAAGCGAAAGCACGTTTCGATGTCCATCAAACAAAAAGTGGAATTGCTGCAAAAAATAGATAAAGGCATATCCTTTGTTTATCTAACCGTTCCGAAATCTGTTTATCAATTTCATGCTGCTCTGCGCGGGGGGGGGGGGGGGACGTCACGGCGAGCAATGAACTGCAAGTTGATCTGTCAGCACTATCGTTATCTTCAGGGCAGATGTTTTTATTTTAGTCGGCATATAATTCCTTACTAAATGTTGTATTTCATCTTGATCTACTCCGTCTTTGATATGATTTAAATCAAATTCCTCGTCATTATAAATATCACGAATACAAATCAAATAGTTTTCTGGTTGCAATTTTCTAATTTCGACTATGCGTAATGTATGTTGTACACATGCACATGTTGAAAGAAATGTATAATAAAGTAAACAAATAAATATTAAGCTTTTTTTTTTTTTTTTTTTTTTTTTTTTTTTTTTTTTTGTAAATTTTGATATCATAGCTGTTCTTTATTTCATAAATTACGGTTTTATATTTTTAATTTTATAATTTCTGCATGCCATCTTGCCAGATTTAAACTGATGATCTATAATCCGGAAAAAATCGATATTCTGGAATCGCCAAAGTCCCGACGAGTCCGGATTAAAGACTTTTGACCGTATAATACAATGAATAATATAATCAATTTATATATGTAATAATAATTTAATGCATATAATAAGTTATTGAAATAATGTATATAATAATTTAATGAAATGTATCTAATATGCCTTATTTATTTTGCACTTTTAGTCTGAATATTATGATTTATCTTTTCTGTCTTGAAATCTGTAAAATCCGCATAACCTCTGGTCCCAAGCTTTGCGGATTTCTGGACTTTTACTGTACTTTGTCAGCTATTGCTATTATATTGCCATTATTACAGTTTCATTTCACAAAAACTAGAACAATAACAACTTTTTGAAAAAATGGTAAAAATATATTTACCCTTGGCGAAACTTGGTGATTTTTGGCGGTACATGGATACCGAGTTTGTGCAATTCTTTGATTTGTTATTTTGGTTTGTGTAGTGGCGATTGCGCCAAAAATCATAGATACAAAGGCAAAATAACCAAGTCAAAGAATTGCACAAACTTGGTATCCATGTACATATTGACCTATTTTCACTTAAAAAAAAAAAATCGGAGAACTGCACAAACTTTAAAAAAAAAAAATCAGAGAATTGCACAAACTTGGCATTGTGCACTCCCTTGACTTTTTCCATGTACACATCGACCTATTTTCACTTAAAAAAAAACATCAGACAATTGCACAAACTAGGCATTGTGCACTCCCTTTGTCAATGTACACATCGATTTATATTCACTTAAAAAGTCAAAGGAGCAGCCAACAAAAAATATATAATCTCAATAAACTACATTTTAAATCAAACAATGAAATAACATAAAAAAAAAGAAAATATCCACTTATCTTACTTACGAATCAACGTGTCTTCAATCAAACAAAATTCCTTAAAAGCATTCAAAAACTTATTAAAATTATCTGAACTAGAATCTATATACTGGCATCGCCGCATAAATTCACAAAAATAATAGTAAAAAATATCCTCCATAGAGAAGGTATCATCCGATGTTTCGACCATATACATTTCCTTCCTACAAACAGGACACTTAACATTCATTTACACACCAGTCAATTAATGCTCTTTTCCCTCTTTCCAAATCATACAGAAACTTCAAATTAATCTTACCACATTCAGCTATTCTACGTCTAAACCACAAAACAAGCAATGTACTTCCTAACCAACACACAAGGCCTAATAAATCTTTTCCCATTATTCAAAATTTACCACAATCATGCAATCGATTATGTCATATAAGGGTTTCCATAACATTTAACTATTCAGGTTACCACAAATGAAACAACAACTTCGCAATAAATGAAACAACTTCGCGATAATACAAGTGACACCCTTCAATCTACTCTAACCAAAAAAATATTATATTCATGGAAATAAAAGGTTACTTCGGCTTCATTTTTCAACACAACTAGTATATGCATGATATAAAATGTGGGCAAAATTAGCATAAGAAGAAAAAAGCATACTCCTGAAACTTTTTCGCAGCAAAAGGATTTTTAAAAAAAAGTTACACAGTACACATTATATGCTTCCTTTAATACTCTTGAATATTCTGAAATGATGTTAAAAATGATGTGAAACTCATGCTGAAATGGCCATAAATTTAATGGTAAAATGTAAAAAAAAAAAAATCTTTATATCACTTCACATATTTTTTACATAAGAAAACTGCCCATACAATATATCCAATAACAACATTCAAGATATCTGTTAAAGCGATTTACTTTCAGTAATCATACTGCTATACAAATTATTATTTGAAAGGTATTTCTGAATCTTTTCAAAAATATACTCCACATTTAGTTTACATCATAAAAATTCCTTCATATCAAAAATATTAATTCAGAAGTCAAACAACAAAAATCAGCGTTATAATTACAAAATTTTCACAGGACTAGTTTCGATGGTTTTACCGAACCACCATCCTCAGCTGCAAAACCACAAATGAACAAGATAGGAAATAATAATTAGATAAGATAAGAAAGCCTGGACAAGAATAAGCAAGTGGCGCCATCTGTTGGTGAAACCAGAACTAAAACATAATTTTTTTAAAGGCCGAAGGCAAATTTGGATTCGAATTAGGATCGTTAACTAGAACAGAAAGATTTTTATGAATGTGAAATGCCTCTAGAAAATCCAGTACTCCAATGGATGATGTTTTTTGAATAATTTTGGCAGCAGAAAAATTGAAAGTGTGATTTTCGGAACAACAATGCTAAGCAACAGAAGACTTCTGTATTTCCTTTTTTCTAACATGTGCCTCATGTTCCTTGACGCAAAATTTTAAGGCTCTCTTAGTTTGGCCAATGTAAATTAAATCACACTGGCAAGGAATCCTATAAATACCCCAGGAATTCGTATCCGGAATGGGGTCCTTGAGTATGGAACTCGGAATTTTATTGATGGGAGAACAAACAACCCGAAAGTTAAATTTCTGCAAAATATATTGATGGAAAGAAGGGAATGACAACAGAATTTTTATAATCTCCTAAAACAAGAGTGTGCCTTTTAGTGTGTTGAGATGAGAATTTTTTAACTGCTTGATTAATAATGTTGGGTGAAAAGCCCCTGTCAATAGCTATTTCTTTTCTAGAGTTTTCTAGAAGCATTTCACATTCATAAAAATCTTTCTGTTCTAGTTAACGATCCTAAATCCAAATTTGCCTTCGGCCTTTAAAGAAATTATGTTTTAGTTCTGGTTTCACCAACAGATGGCGCCACTTGCTTATTCTTGTCCAGGCTTTCTTATCTTATCTAATCATTATTTCCTATCTTGTTCATTTGCGGTTTTGCAGCTGAGGATGGTAGTTCGGTAAAACCATCGAAACTAGTCCTGTGAAAATTTTGTAATTATAACGATGATTTTTGTTGTTTGACTTCTGAATTAGTATTTATTCGGCATCTTATTGTGTCTTAACAAAAATATGTTTTTGTCATTTCTAAATGTGTTACAACTCAACACTTTTTCCCACTTTGTAAATTTGTCTTAAGTAAAAATTATCTACAGCGGTCAATGCTTTCTCCTTTCTTAAACCGAGGTTAGATAAAAAAAAAAAAAAAAAACTGTTTGTACTTTTTATAAAAATGACCATT